CTAAAAAAAAAAAAAAAAAAAAAAAAATACAAAAATTAGTCAGGTGTGGTGTCCCATGCCTGTAATCCCAGCTACTTGGGAGGATGAGGCAGGTGAATCGCTGGAACCTGGGAGATGGAGGCTGTAGTGAGCCGAGATTGCATCATTGCACTCCAGCCTGGGCAATAGAGTGAGACTCTGTTGCCCAGGCTGGAGTGCAATGGCACAATTTCGGCTCACTGTAGCCTCTGCCACCTGGGTTCAAGTGATTCTCTTGCCTTAGCCTCCCAAGTAGCTGGGATTACAGGCGCCACCATCATGCCTAGCTAATTTTTCTTTTAGTAGAGATGGCATTTTACCATGTTGGCCAGGCTGGTCTCGAATGCCTGGCCTCAAGTGATCCACTCGCCTTGGCCTCCCAAAATGCTGGGATTACAGGCATGAGCCACCATGCCCAGCTACAACTTCTGTTGCAAAATTATTTCAACTTAATTAAGATTCTCCTAAGTAAAATACATGTTAACACATCAAACAAATTTGGGTCAATGTGTAAACCTTTCTATATACTTACAAAACTTAGAGAGTTATGTTAAGAGACTTGCCCTTCTAGATACAATTTCAAGTTTGAATACTGACCAATATTTTGGTTGAATTTGGTGATAGTTGGTAATAGTTTCACATCTACTTGAGAGATACTTAAATCAGTTCTAGTTACATGAATCATAGCAAGGTTCAAAAAACAAAAGATCCATTACTCTGGAAACCACCATTCTAAATTTAAGAGATACGAGATAACTGAATTTTAAAATTACAATTCTAAAAACATTAAAAACTATACTTAATGTCTATCAGTTATTAAAGAAACTTTTTTTTTTTTTAACCTTAACAACAAATATTTTATCTTCAAACCCTGGTGTCATTCCTAAAATGCTCATGTAAGAAGCTTTCAATGATGAAGTTTTCAATCCCATGGAAGACGCCACAGCCAGTAGCAGAGATGCGTCCATCGATTCCCCCTTGGCTGATGCGTTTACCAGTAACACAGGCGTGTCCATTAATATCCTCTAAGAGGGAGTAATTGAAAGAATGAAATGTCAAGTCCAATTTCTCTGTTGAACAAATATAATGAATTAAAGTCAAAGCACATTCTCATTTAATGCTAATTAGGAGTGTGTATGAATGTATTTAAGGTACACTTTTACCAATAGGGACAACACTCACTTTTTCAGAAAAAAGACTATATTTTCTTTCTTTTTTTTTTTTTTTTTGAGACAGAGTTTCACTCTTGTTGCCCAGGCTGGAGTGCAATGGCGTGATCTTGGCTCACCGCAACCTCTGCCTCCCAGGTTCAAGCAGTTCTTCTGCTTCAGCCTCCCGAGTAGCTGGGATTGCAGGCATGTGCCACCACGCCCGGCTAATTTTGCAGTTTTAGTAGAGACAGGGTTTCTCCATGTTGCTCAGGCTGGTCTCGAACTCCCAACCTCAGGTGATCCACCCACCTCGGCCTCCCAAAGTGCTGGGATTACAGGCATGAGGCACCATGCTTGGCAAAGTAGACTATATTTTCTGACGGAAAAAACAGTGTAGGGATTGAACATCAAGTAAGTACAAATAACATCACAAAAGTAGAGCTAGTTCAGCCTAAAGCTATCATTCCTTCAACAAGTATTTAAGCTCTACTAAATCAAGGTACATACACATCTCATTCACGAGTGTCTTAAAATCTACTATAAGACTTGAGTATGTCACCAAAACAGAGCTTGAGACAGGAAGAGGCTTTACAATTTTCTTGGATGGGAAGACTCACTGTTGTCTTCTGCCACTATTTAAAAAGGAAGTTTTTAATAACTTGATACTTAATATAACATGATATCCAAGTTCATCTAAGAGTAGACTAATGAAACTATTTAATGAAGTATTTTTAAAAAGGTATGTGTGGATGAGAGTCTCTGCTTCTGTGTGAGTAGAGTATCTTTGGTAGCAGTGGTTAGTTCTGCAAAGTGGAGATGGGGTTAGCAGTCTTCACCACCCATCTTTCTGTCCTTTTTCAACTGAAGATGTGCATATATTCTTGTTCAGAAACAGGTGTAATTTAAAAAAAGAAGAATGGGGCTCAGGAGGGCTTCCCTTCGAAGGCATCAAATATACTATAAACATGGCCACCGGAACACTGCAGAGTAAACTCACCGATGGAGCAGGAGAAACTACAGTCTTATTTTATACAGGCAATCAATACAAAATGAGAATCCATATAAAATTTTAAGTCAATGGCAAAAGTATGAAATAGTCAATAAACTTGTTGAAGCAATTTGCTATCCATGTAAACAAAATAAAATGCCTTACTTCACACTGAACCCCTAACTCCCAACATATCCCTAACGTTCCAGCTGGCTGAATTAAAAAGTGATCTGTTCTTTATCTGTATTGTTTAAATATTTTTACACAGAGAACTTAGAATTATATTATTTGTATAATTACCAACAAAAAGGATGAAAGCAAGGAAGGAAAACGCAATCTAGTAAAGTGATTTATAAAATTAGTTTTCCCACAATTTGCTTTCATGAGTAATTAACACTCATGAATACAGAAATGCAAACTGAGTGCCAAATGCTTTTCAACAGTGAGAATGCAAATGCTGGCGCTGAAGGAAACACTGTCTGGGGTCAAGCCTGGCGCCAACTGCCAGGCTCCCCCAGCATACGTAATGGTCCTGAAAGCCCCGAGAAGAATACATTCTCCCACCAACACTGCACTTCTAGGTGGGGCTAGGAGAAAAAGGGCGGCACGTTCCAGTTCACATTTAGAAATGAGTAACAAAAACAATTGCGTCCTTCCCGTAGGCCTTGATTTTAGATTGCTTATCACTTAAAGAAGGAAAATTGCGTACCAGTATAGTTCAAGGGGGCCGTGCTTCACAAGACTTTCTCTTGCTGTTAGCACTGAGAATGAGCTACAAACAACAACATAACGTCCACTGCTTTGCACTACTCAATGTAGTGTCTTGCTTAAACAGAACAAGAGACCGGCTGGGCGCGGTGACTCACGCTTGTAATCCCAGCGCTTTGGGAGGTCAAGGAGGGTGGATCACCTGAGACCAGCCTGGCCAACATGGTGAAATCCCAACTCTACTAAAAATACAAAAAAATAGCCGGGCTAATGACAGGCGCCTGTAATCCCAGCTACTTGGGAGCCTGAGGCAGGAGTCTCTTGAACCCGGGAGGCAGAGGTGAGCCGAAATCGCGCCACTGCAGTCCAGCCTGGGTGATCCAGTGAGACTCCGTCTCAAAAAAAAAAGAACAGGAGACCACACTCAGAGTTCACTGCTAAATGAGTCTCCTTCTGGCTTTTTGCACGGCACCAAGGAACCCGAGCCAGGTCGCACAGCTGCCCTGCCCTTCAGCGAGGACTCAGGCGAGCTCGGTGTACGCAACTAGGGAGTGCTACCGCGGGAGTTGAGACAGCGGATTGCGAGAGCAGGGTGTGGCGGAATCAGCAGGGACGCGGTCCCGGCGCAACGCACTGCGCAGACGGCGCCGGCGCCCGCCCTCAGCTGTTGGGGGGTCTTTCCTCCAGCTCTCCCCTGAACGTTCTCCAGGCGCCGGTCTCTTTTTTCTGTCTTCTTGTTTCCCTCCGCCGAGTCGGCGCCACTGTGAATTTCCGTTTCCGGCGGTGTCCAAGCGGACCTGAGAAGTCGTAGTCGTGAGCAGGTTCGGTGGTGCGGCGGCCTGGGATAGGCGGCGGTGGGCTGTGGCAGGTGTCGGTGGGGTCCCTGGCCCTGGGGCACTGGGAAGATCGCGAGTCGTGCGCTTGGGAAGGTCCTCCCGCGGTCCTCCGACTCATCTTTGCTCCCGAGGAGCAGCATATTTAGCATCTGCTGGAGGTGTGCCCCGGGGGTCGTTGGGAGAGTGACGGGATGAATCCCTGCAGAGAGCCCAGACTGGGAGGGAAGATGTCCTGAAGACGTCGTTTCCTGGCGACGTGGTGCCGGTAGGCGACTTAGACCTGAGCCGAATCTGTTGACCCCAAATTGTGCTTTTCCCACCAAGAGCAAAAGGGAGAGAAATATTAGTACAAGTTCGGAACTAAAATAGAGAAGCAACGTGATCTCTGAAATCACACAGCTATTCAGTTTCAAAGCGTTCCTAGTTCCCAGCCCTCCTAACTCCCGGCCGGTGTTCCTTGACAATATGGTGATATATAAAGACTTTCTATTTCCGCTCGTGTGTGTGTCTGTGGGAAGTCTCTGACTCACCTCTATGCTCCAGTAGCACCCTGTGCAGCCTTGCAATGTAGCCCTCATTGCATGGCACGGAAGACACTAGTTTGGATTTTCTCTGCCAGTCAGAGCATAGCTATATCCATTTACTGGCCCAGTGGCTAGCACATCAGAGACACAAACGTTTATTAAATGGAATTAATACAGGACCCTAATTGAATGAAATGGCACCCTGCTCCGCCTTTTTTCAATCAAGCTGTCAGATTTTATGCAGCCCCATATCCTTAAAAAACTCACTAATTCAGTGATTACCAATTTATTGGCCACAGATTCCCTGGTACCTCAGAAATCACTGGAAGGGTCTCTGTAAGTCCATGGGGTCTCCAGGCATCATCTAGAACCAGTCATATCTCATACATACAGATACTACTGTTTTTCAAATGTATGTAGATGAGCTGTAATTTAGGAGTTTTAGAGTCGACAGGTACTAAAAGTAATACTGTGATCATATTGGAAGTTAAAAAAATGGTTTAAAATTTTTTATTAAAATTTAAGTTTTAGTTTAAGTTAGGAAACCACTTCATTCGTCTGGTTGATATCTAGGTATGAGCTGTGCAGTATGGTAGCCACATGTGACTATTTAGAGTTAGAATGAAATTAATTAAAAATTCATTTTTTCAGTTTCTCTAAGTATATTTTAAGTAACCACATGTGGCTGAAGGCTGAATAGCTGAAAAGTACAGATATAGAATATTTCCATCCTTGCAGAAATAGATAGTGCTGATGTTGACACTTAAGATGAATAAAAAGTAACTTAACCATAAAATGTAACCTTAGCAGAGGTAACTCATCTAATTTATAGCATAACAGAGAGAAATGAAATTGGGGATGGTTAAGCAGTTCCTACCCTTGTTCAGTGAACAAATACATCATCTCTTCATAAAGAAATAAATGAAATTTAATGTTTTCCCCTGTGTATTGACTGGATTGTAAAATGCTTCTCCCACCTCCTTACCCCAACCTTCTTCCTTGTAGGTTACAGTTACTTGTTATTGGTAAGTAGCCACTATGGAAACTAAGGACCAGGGAAACAGAAAGAAAAACAATGGACCCAAAGCTGCAAAGAAAAAGAAGCGGCATCTGCAGGATCTCCAGCTAGGAGACGAAGATGCCCGGAAGAGAAATCCCAAAGCTTTTGCAGTTCAGTCTGCTGTGGGGATGGCTCGATACTTTCACAGGTGTGTTTAGCTATAGCCTGATGGTTCTTCCTTTGATTCTTTTTAAATAGTAGGAGCCTCTCACAGGTGACATTTGGAGTCACAAGTCTAGTCCAGCTCCAAAGGACATGCAGATGCATGCTGTGTGGCTTTTACTAAAACATGAGAAGCCTTCCCATAGAAGCTGCCTTGCCTCCAGCATCTGCACACTGGTTGGTGTTTCTTGCCCAAAATACAAGAATTTATAGAATTTGTTTCTTCCTAAACTTTAAACTGTTTCTACAGTGATGATAAGTGTGCTTTTTCCCTCCAACTTTTACAAAGTTGTAATATAAAATACAAAAATTACAATATGTAATACTAACATAGCTTTATTTAGTGAGTCTTTGTGATATTCTTAGCAGTGGACTTTAAATATTATTCAACTAAATCCTTCCAGCAGCCTTACCAGAGTAGGAATCATTCCTGCCCTCATTTTATGGACAAGAAAACTGAGGTCAAGAAAACAAGTTACCTCCAATCATATAACCAGTAAGTAGGAGAGCCAAATTTAACTCCAGAGCCTCTGCTCTTATCTGTTATGATGCACTGCCTCGGTATTTATGTTTTGGTTTTTAAAAAACGATTAAAATCACTCCTAAAACAGTCAGATTTAAGGAATATTTAATTTTCATCTCTATATTATTGAAGTCATCTTGTTACATCTTTATTGAACAGTAATGATTTGGATGGGGGTCAGAAGTTAATAATTGACAAGTTAATTATATTTATATATTGTCTGTTGTACTCTATAAAATATACTAAAGTACTGATATCTATAAGTATACCAAAAAAAGTCTATTTATAAGGTTGATACCTTTTACTCTGTTTTGAGAATGAGTTTACTTATTTTTTTTTCTTTGATGAATAGGTGTCAGGATTTGAAGACAAAAAAGCATCATATTCCAGTGGTTGATCGAACTCCACTGGAGCCCCCACCAATAGTGGCAGTGGTGACGGGGCCTCCAAAGTTGGAAAGAGCACTTTGATATAATGCCCCATTTGGAACTTCACCCGTCAGAAGTTGACTGAGATCAGAGGCCCTGTGAGGATCGTGTCAGGTAGGAGATGCTGCCGCAGACACAGAGTTGGCGTGACTGTTGTCATCTGAGGGACATGCGTGTGTTTGTTGTTTTCTTGAATGGAGCATGTTAAATATTGTCATATCGTGTTATCTCTCTTACACTTTTACTAAGTTAGCTATAACTTCAGAAAAGGGTAAGTTCCCAGAGATAAGGATGTGATACATATCTTATCCTGACTGCTCTATGGCTTTGCCAAGCATGTTCCTTGGAAGGGCCTAGCAGGCCTGGTCACTGTGAACACATCATTTAACAGACAGCACGTACCTCCTATGTGCCAGGTGCACATGCTTGCCCTTATGAAGCCGCATGCTGGTGGAAGTGCGCCTTTTCTCTTTTTCTTATGAGAATTTGCTTTGGGAGATGGTGACCTTTCCAAGTTTGAGGGAAGTAAAACAAACTTCCAGTGGTAGAATGGTAATGCACTCTCTGAAATCTCTTGTTATTGCAGTAACATAGTTGGATTGAGACATTCTTTTATCTTTGGAGCATCCATACTTTCTTCTCCTTTTTTTTAGACAGAGTCTTACTCTGTGGCACAGGCTAGAATGCAGTGGTGTGATTACAGCTCACTGCAGCCTCAACCTCCCAGGCTCAAGCAATCCTCCTACCATAGCCTCCTGAGTAATGTATGCCACCACACCTGTCTAATTTTTCTTTTTTTTCCTATCTTTTTTGGTTTTGTACAGATGGGGTTTCCCCATGTGGCCCAGGCTTGTCTCAAAACTCCTGGACTTAAGGGATCCACCTGCCTTGGCCTCCCAAGGTGCTGGAACAAAGGCGTAAGCCACTGTACCCAGCCCCTATTTTCTTGACCATTTTCTTATTACCTGAATTTAGAAATGATTATCGTTACGAATATTCTGTTGCATTATGTTTGAGGATGTTTTTAGCGATAGTGGGAATACGGGAAGTTTGATAGAGGTGAAGACATGGTCCTGCAGCTGAACAGCAAGATCATGGTTATCATGGAGCATGTCGAGCCAGACTTTTCCGTGTTCGAGCACTTTTATTCATCTGGGTAGACTTTTGATGTTACTTAAATTTAGAACACAGCAAGAAAAACACGATGGAATTTATTTTATTTTACCAGTTTTTGCCCATAAAAATGAACTTCTGGTACACTTCTGTAAATGTATATGGTGTTTTACTGGATGCAATTTAAAATTGAAAATTAGAGTTGACGGTTAGTTTTTTCAGGGTCTTTTTAAAGTAAAAATTTCATCTTTTCAGTAATAGGTAAAAAGCACAGACTCACCGTTATTGAATGTGGGTGTGACATTAACATGATGGTTGATCTGGCTAAAGCCGCAGATCTGGTAAGTCAGCAGGGGCAGCCTGGGGTGCTGATGGAGACTTACAGCGTTGTGATAGGTTATTTACCCTGTGAAGGGAAGAGAGTTTTATGATTATTAAAGGAATCATGATCATCATCAGGGATACAGTAGGTGTGACTGAATTGATGATGATAATAATAGTAGTAATAAATGTTGTTATATTAATAATACAAATGGAATGTGCACAATGAAATGTATTCCAAAATCTAAAAGCAAATCACAGGATGGAGAAAACCTTTAGTGAACACAGCTAATAAGAGTTCATTAACATGCATACATATATACATACAAATATATCATAGTAAGTACCGTTTCTTCTTGGACCCTTCCTGGCACTGTGCTAACTGCTTTCTACAAATTTAGCTTACATAAACCCTTGATACACCCTTGAGGTAAGTAGGTATTATCTGTAGTTTACATAAGATGAAATAGAGCCTCCCAACAGTTAAGTAACTTGTGTGAAGATGGGACCCTTGTTCTTGATGGTTCTAGAACCTTCATCCTTAATGATAACGCTAAAGTAAGTACATGAATTGCCTGAAGAAGTGGTCAGAGTTTATCAATAGAAAATTTAGATAGTACTCAGTGTGTGGAAAATGTACACGCTCTTGCATTTATGGAAATGATAATGTTCACTATTCCTGATACTCTATTAACTATCTTTTAAATTAGAAAAATAAAATACAAATTAACAACAACAACAACAACAACAAAAAACGCCAGACGAAGTGGCTCATGCCTGTAATCCCAGCACTTTGGGAGGCGGAAGTGGGCGGATCACCTGAGGTCAGGAGTTCAAGACCAGCCTGACCAACATGCAGAAACCGCATGTCTACTAAAAGTACAAAATTTAGCCGGGTGAGGTGGTGCATCTCTAGAATCCTAGTTACTTAGGAGGTTGAGGCAGGAGAATCGCTTGAACCTGGTAGGCGGAGGTTGTGGTGAGCCGAGATTGTGCCATTGCACTCCAACCTGGGCAACAAGAACGAAATTCTGTCTCAGAAAAAAAAAAAAAAAAAAAGCAAAAAAAGCAAAAGAATAAGCCATATTGATTAGTAAGTGTGGGGTGACAGATACCTTGGTTTTTTTCATTTTTATTTAGTTTTTTCTAGAGCTACAGATTTTATACTTTGACCCAGGAAGACTCCTAAAATATAAGGAAAAAGTAATACAGATTTTAAAGTTGTTTCGTTTTAATGTCGGAAAACTAAGTAACATTCAAATGTTATGCTACTATTAGTAAAAATTAGTGTTATTAATGTAAAGTGTAAAGATTACTAAATCTTGTATACTTGAAATGATTGAAATAGTTCATAGAAGTTATTTGTTTCTCTTTCATTTAAAATGTAGCAAGTTTCTAATTTTAAAGACATATGTTAAGAGATGCCTTTACTTTTTTTTATTTTTAGTTATTATGGGTGCATAATAGTTGTACATATTTATGGGGTACATGTAGTATTTTGATACAAGCATACAATGTGTGATGATCAAATCAGGGTAATTTGGATATCCATCACTTCAAACATTTATAATTTCTTTGTGTTAGAGGCATTTTAATTTCATTCTTTTAGTTATTCTGAATTATATAATAAATTATAGTCACCCTAGTGTGCTATTGGATGCTAGAATTTATTCTACGTAACTGTATTTTTGTACCTGTTAACCTTTCCCTCTTTGTCTCTCCCTCCCTGGTCCCCTTCCCAGCCTCTTAACCATCACTGAGAGAGATGCCTATGTAAATCTTTTTCAGATTTTCAAAAGGAGCACACACATTTGGTAAAGCACTCTAACTAATGCAGGGTACACACAATGCACGTTTTCTCTTTCCTTGCTCTAACCACTGGTCTCTCAGGTCCCTGCAGAGCAGTATCCTTCCAGATGCATATAAACACACATGCCACCCTTTAAAAACACAAATGGTAGCTTATTTTACACACTCTTCTATGCTTTGCTTTTTTCATGTAATATATCTTGGAGGTATATAATCAGTAAGTACTGTAGCGCTGCGACCTTCTTTTTAATATAATATTCCATTCTATGGATGCACCATAATTTATTTAGCCTAGCTTATGTTGATTGCTCTGCTCTGGGTTGTCAGAGCCTCCTGACCACGGCAAAGGCACACACAGTACATGGATTTAGGCGTGTACATGCGTGTGTGGATTAGGGGAGTAACACTGGCTTAGATGACAAAGATTGGCAGCTGAGGGACTGTTTCCTCCCTGTTCTTCCTGACCCTACAACCAGCTGCTTGCCCCTTGGCACTCTGACATCAGATGTGGTGTGAGGATTTTCCATCTGTTCTTCGAGCTGGTCCAGTGTTGCTGGAGAGCTCTGCTTGCTGCCTCGGTCTGCAGTGGCAGTTGTGCTTTCCTACAAGCCCAACTTCATATATTCTGTGGTTTCGAGTTTTGAATGTTTCCTAGTTTAATCAAATTTGGGCATTTCTATTTCCATTTTGTGTTATTTTTAGTTATTCATGGAAAGATAAAAACAACTATCTTTAATATTAAAAGTAGAAGTTTCCAGGAATGAATTATGAAATTATTTTGCATCTTTGAAGTGTCTTAAATTTTAAAAACTGGTCTTGGCCGGGTGCGGTGGCTCACGCCTGTGATCCCAGCACTTTAGGAGGCCAAGGTGGGCAGATCGCGAGGTCAGGAGATCAAGACCATCCTGGCGAATACTGGGAAACCCCATCTCTACTAAAAAAATGCAAAAAAGCCGGGCGTGGTGGTGGGCGCCTGTAGTTCTAGCTACTCGGGAGGCTGAGGCAGGAGAATGGCATGAATACGGGGGGCAGAGCTTGCAGTGAGCCAAGATCGCGCCACTGAACTCCAGCCTGGGTAACAGAGCGAGACTCCGTCTCAAAAAAAAAAAAAAAAATTGGCCTTATCTGCTTGTATTTTCTTATAGACTACCATTCATCATAATCTTACTGTTTTTTGACTTAATCCTAAACTGATAGCTATTAAAAAAAATTCTGAGTACTTGAGTTATACAAATTAACATACAAGATAGAGGTTTCCACTGCATACTTCTCAGCAAAAAAACAGATTTTTTTTTTTCTGTGAAGAGATTGAAAGAAGAGGTTGGTTTTCTGTATATATTTAATATATTTCATTGATTATCACTTTCTTCCCATTCTTTGGATGTCAGAGACCTGTTATTTGGCTTAAAAGTACATTACAGAAAACTTCATTTCTTTAAATTAGGATTTCTTAGGTAAGGACCAGGTTAGACCCAGCCTTTTCTGAGTTACTTCTCACGCATTAGAATTCCTAAAATGAAAGTTTATATCCTAGTGGGCATTGTCTTATGGTTGCCTTTTAGAGCAAGTCAGAGGGTGGTGGTTTCTCTGGGTGATGCCTGTGTAGTCATTTGATTTACTCTGTAGTGGGACTTTTCTGTCGAGGGCCAGATAGTAAATATTTTCGGCTTTGTGGATCATGTCTTTTACAGCTACTTAGCTCTGCAGTTGTAGTGCACACGCAGCCATAGACAATATGTAAATGAATTCATGTGTCTGTGTTCCAATAAAACTTTAGTTACAAACACAGGTGATGGGTGGATTTGGCCCGTGGGCCAGTTGCCAACCCCTAGTGTAGGTGGTCTGTTTTGGTAATTTCTTTGAGAAATGATGTGTTCTGCTTGTAGGTACCAATGCTTATAGATGCCACTTTGGGTTTGAAATGGAAACCTTTGAGTTTCTAAACATCTGTCAAGTACATGGCTTTCCTAAAATTATGGGAGTTCTCACCCACCTCAACTCCTTCAAGCATAATAAGCAACTGAAGAAGACAAAGAAGTGATTAAAACACAGCTTCTGGACAGAAGTTTACCAGGTAGGAAGAGAAATAATTGTTAGAAACTAACAGTATAATCCTTTTAAAATAGACTGAAGAGGCCGGGCACAGTGGCTCAAGCCTGTAATCCCAGCACTTTGGGAGGCAGAGTTGGGCGGATCACTTGAGGTCAGGAGTTTCGAGCTCAGGGCAATATGGCCAAACCCCATCTCTACTGAAAATGCAAAAATTAGTCGGGTGTGGTGGCATGCGCCTGTAATCCCAGCTACTGGGAGGCTGAGATGTGAGAATTGCTTAAAGCTGGGAGGCAGAAGGTAGAGTGAGTTGAGACTGCACCACTGCACTCCAGCCTGGGTGACAGAGTGAGACTCCGTCTCAAACAAACAAAAAGACTGAAGAGACGTTACTAAACATCTATCTAGGATTTGCCTCCTGAATTCCCATTATGTTTGTGTTCCCAGTCTCTGGAAGGTTTCCCTCAAGAGAGTGCTTATTCTGGGCCTCTTGGTATATTTCATTTGTCTCTGTACCTGTTGCACCAGGTAGTGTCTAGGTGTTTTGGGGTCGGGACTTTATAATAGAGTACATCAGAAGTTTCTCCCAGTTGCAGGACCAGGCACTGCCCCTTCCTTTCCATACTGCTCTGGTCCATCGGCCACAGAACCGTTTCTGTGCTCAGAGGCCTCACCTCCCTCTCCTCACCATACTTAGATGGATGCCCCTGCTCGGCTGCAGAGCAGTCTGCCTCTGTGGGTTTCTAATAAGTCCTGAAAGAAGCCAGCAAGGCTCTGGAAGCCTGAGGACAGTGGCTTTGCTGGAAATCTCCCTTCTTAGGATTGCTTCTTTTTTAGAGCTTTTATTTTGTTGCAGTATTGATGAGAATTTAATTGAAATTTAATTTTTAATTTTCCTTTAATGTTTAGGGTGCCAAGCTGTTCTACTTTTCTGGAATGCTGCATGGAGAATATCAAAACCAAGAAATGCACAATCTGGGCCGTTTTATTACAGTTATGAATTTTAGGCCTCTCACATGGCAAACTTCTCACCCTTATATCCTGGCAGACAGGTAAAAAGTGATTGTAAACTTTTTCTTCCTGGGCCATATATTTCAAAGCTAAAAAGGCTAGAAAAAGAACAGTGATAGAATTTATTTTGTGCCTGTTTGAATAGTGGTGGTAGAAGTGTAGTTGATGGAAAATGTCTACTTATATCATTGCTCAAAGATGCTGTGCCTTTGGGAGTAAATTAATTATGAGATGTTTAGGAAAATGGGAGGACTTAGAATCATTTAAGGCTACAGGATGTGGCCCCATCCTACGCTCAGCCTCAGTTTTCAGTGATGCTTTCTTCGTGCCCGGGTGCTTGAGTCCTCGTGTGTGCCTTCAGCTTCCTTCCTTTGTGCTCTTCTTTGTGCTGTGGTTTTCTCAGCCTGGAATACCCTTTTTCCACCTGCCAGAATCCAAGCCACAGTAAAAATCCCAGAGCACAGGCTCACCCTCTTCCAGAAATGGATTTTCTTAATATGTTCTTCACTCCTCCCCAACCCCAGGTGGATGTCACCTCCCTGTCTGGTGTCTTCTGGAATGAATGTCACTTTCAGCCTAGAGACACAGTTGTGTGCCTGCCCCTTGTCCTCTGCTGGATGGTGAACGGTGCTTCCTTATTTCTGCATTGTCTAGTTTTCTAAACAACGTGCTTAGTGAACAAGAGTGTGATGAATCATTGACACATGCAAGGAGGTATAGAAATATTTCTACTGTATGATTGAGTTTATTTTTCTAGGATGGAAGATTTGACAAACCCAGAGGATATCTGAACAAACATCAAATGTGACCGGCAGGTGTCACTTTATGGTTATGTAAGAGGAGCGCACTTGAAAAATAAAAGCCAACTTCACATGCCAGGTATTCTCTTGTTATAGAACATACTAGAGTTACACATAGGATTCTTGGGATGGCTTCATTTCTCAGGAAAACTGAAAAATGACCCAACAAGGGAAGATGGCCTTGCTGGAGGTTTTAAAAGTAAGCCAGCTATGTGTAGGCCTGCAAAGGTGTTATCAAATCCCCTCTTCTCTGACCTCTTGTAGCTAGAGGGACACTGTTCCCGTGTGACATGATGCCCTTCTTTAGGTCTTGGGTTAAACCATTGGACTGTGCATCGTTTTTAACCCCCCAGTCAACAGTAGATACTTACTGACTTCCTGTCAGCTGAAGCTGGCTTTTTGGGTCCTGTCTTCCCGGGGTAGAATAGAAGATTTCGCCGTGTATGACATCAGTTTCCTCCCAGACCCTTGTGCTCCTCCTGAACAACAAAAGAAGCGCTGTTTAAATAAGAAGGAGCAGATGGTTTATGCGCCTCTTTTTGGAGTTGGGCGAGTGCTGTATGACAAAGACGCTATCTATGTTGACCTTGGTGGCAGCCACAGTTTTCAGGCATCGGTGAGATGGGAGTCCTTGCTCTGAACTCTCATTATTCTTTCCAAGTCTATTGTTTAAAGAAAAAAAGTAATGTAGTCAGCTTTTATTTATTGACGATTGTTCTCTTGTACTTATAATAAAGGCCCAAATGCATATTGTAAATATGTAGAATAAAAAGAATACCTTTTTTTCTTTATACCAAGCAGAAGCGTCCTGTCCTCCATGCCTCCTTGATCCGTGGCCCCGGCGCGGGCCCTGCTGCCAGTGTGGCACCTGCACGGCTTATCTCCATTTCTACAAAACCAGTGTGCTCGCCAGCTCTCATTGGTCTTTTTCTTTTTCTCGTTCACAGTGGTCTCCTCGTTCTGTACTTTAAAGTGGATTTCCAATATTTATTTCTTAGTTCTGTAGTTGAATTTTATTGGGTTAAAAGCAGGGTTATTTTAAAATGTTAGAAAAGCTAGCATTGTTGTAGCACTGGAAGTGAGATTTTTCTAGCTAGGTGTTTAGGTTATCAGGTTATATACTCACTGAGCTTTGGAAAAGTTTAATGGAGATGGGGATCCATTTCAAGCTTTGCTATAAGGATTTTCTGCTCTGGTTTTTGTGGCATTAAGAAATGTTCTCGGGAAATGTGTGTAAGATAATTTTGAGAAACTGGGTGAAACTGTCTCTCCAAGATCTTTGTGCTTTCCTCACGTGCCCTTTCTTGGTGGTCTTGACAGGACGAGGTGGAGCCCACCCACGAGCTGGTCCAGAGTCTCATCTCCACCCACTCCACCATTGATGCCAAGATGGCTTCAAGTCGGGTGACGCTGTTTTCTGATTCCAAGCCACTTGGGTCAGAGGCTATAGATAATCAAGGGGAAGTCTGCCTTTTTTCTATTTTTAATAAAAAGATATATTATGGAAGATCATGTCACCCATAATTCTGCCATCATAACACATTTTGGTGGGATTCATTCTATGTTGTTTTGTTTTTCTTTGTGTGTGCATGTGTCTCTGAGGGCTCTTCACTTACCTGACATTACAAGGGAGTATTTTCTTGAAATAAAATACAGGGTGCATTTTTCAGCAGACCCCAAATATTCCTCAAATACCACGCCATCTTCCATATGTTGCTTTTTTGTGTTTTAAGAGACCTGAGTTCACTTGGCTTTCTTTTGATGGCGAAAACACTAGAGCAGAATCAGGGAGTTTGTGGCTCTCCAGAAGCCGCATGCCTTGTCTCTGAAAGTTTTATTTAGATTATGGTGTATTATCTCCCATGGGTAAGTTTCCTCTGATGTATGGCTTATGTGAATTACTTTTCAGCCTGGGTTAAGAATTTGTATACCTTTATGCTTAGTGGATGTTTGCAAAACATTGGTTTTGTTGTATTGATTTATGACTCTCAGTAAAATTTATCTGAAAATTTTGAGATAATCTAGTATGTAATTTGTTACAATGTGCATAAACTACCTACCACAGTGCCTGATACAACGAGTGTTATTAGCTATTTTCATTTTTGCATATCCTTCTAGTCATCCTTGTCTACAAGAATACTCTCTTCTAATATAGTTACAGGTAAAATACATAATTTTATTTCTATATTCTGAGCATTTTGTTTTCTATACAGTCTTTATGTAGTCATGATTTTGTTGTTACCAGTGTTTTTTTTGTTATTGTGGTTTGTTTTTGTTTTTGTTTTGAGATAAGGTCTCACTTTGTCTCCCAGGCTGGAGTGCAGTGGCATGATCTTGGCTCACTGCAGCCTTGAACTCCCAGGCTCAAGTGATCCTCCTGCTTCGGCCCCGCAAGTACCTGGGACTACAGGAATGCATCACCACTCCCAGCTAAATTTTTTGTTTTGCTCTAGGGGCGAGTTCTCACTATGTTGCTCAGGCTGGTCTCGAATTCCTGTGCTCAAGCAATCCTCCCGCCTTGGCCTCCCAAAATCCTGGGATTACAGATGTGGGCCACTATGCCTGGCCTATTATTCCTATATTCTAACTTATCCATCTCTTATGGTACGAGTTTTAGTTTTTTCTAATTTATGTTTTCATATTTTTATCTATTGTGCTATGTTAAAAAGCTTCATACAGTTTTCTTTCATCCAGTGATTTTAGCCTCCTTATGATCTTCTCTATCAGTTATGGCACTGGTGACTTAAAATGGATGTTCTTCCTGTGTCATTCCTTCTACATTTGTTACCTGGAATTTTTAGTAAAGAGCTTTCAGTTCTTCCCTTTATTTTCATATCACTGCTGACTAATGCAATTGCATTTTATTCCATGGGTTATTTTCCATCACTGTCATTGTTCATTCTAATGCCTATACTGTCCCAGATTCGGCCGCGGGAGCCTTCAGCCTGTCTCCTGTGTCCTCTCAACTGTCTCTGTTAGTCTTTGAGCATTTCTTACTTTCTGACAGAACAAGAGGATCCAGGCTCATTTTGCCCTCTTTCTGCCTTGGGCCTGGACTCAACCATTTCTGTTAAGGATCATGTGTTTTTAGCTTAGAAATTAATCACCTTTCTAAAAGATCTATGAAACACTAACTTCCCATTTAAGCAATTTTTTTCTAAAATTAGATTTTTTTTTAAAGGGTTATTCCTCTTAAGTTCTTTTGAAGTGTGGTGTTAGGGAACCATGCCTGAGTTTGCTTATTAACTCTTCCGGTGTTTATCAGATTATTTTTTCCCTATTCTGTGTCATCTTAAACATCTTAAACAATTCCTTGACATTTTTTGTTCCTTTGTATTTTCATTGACTATATTGCCATTTCCAGATGAGTTGATTAACGTACAAATTGAATTATTTTGCGTTTCCTTGGTAATACAGGCTGTTATTGCCAAAGGAGGAAAAACAAATGGACTTGAAAACTGGTCAAATGCATCGGAAAGCCATTTTGGGAGATGACTCTGTGCTAACATCCTCTCTCCTTTCTTGGTCTCTTAATTTTTTTTCTTACCCAAATATATACAGGTTTATTTTGTCTTCCTAGAAGATCCAAGATCTTTGGTTTAGAGATATATTCTCTTAATGTTAACTGGTATTAGAATATACTTCTCTGTATTTCATTTCAATACATTTTAAAAATAGAAATGATTATTTCTTTTGACTTGTGAAGTAGAGCATGGCATACAAGTGTTGTATTCTCAGTATTTCAAAAAATTTCCTTCTTACTGTACAAGTTGTATTCATTATAAAAAGTCCATCCAGATTTGTTGTAGATGCAGTGTGATTATTACATGCTGATAAGATATGAATTGGAGATGGGATCCAAAAGTACTGTACTTATTGTAATTTTTAAGCTAAATGTAGGTTTGGTGATGAACATTTTACTTCTGCAAAATGCAAACAGTATTTCATCAGAAGTTGTTGTATGGTCTTTCAGACATTTTGTTTTATATCTTTGGTGCTTTTTGCCTATGAAGTATCTCTTTTGTGTGTGTGTGTGTGTGTATTGACCTGCCTCTAAATTTCACAGCGCTCATTGTCACGAATCAGCAGAATCAGGCCTAGGCAGAGAGCTGAGCAGTACTCTCAGTATGTCTCTGTGTCCTGGTTGCCACATTATCTCTGTTGTTTATTAATAAATTGGAGAACTCTCTGACCTGTAACAAAAGTTGAATAGATCAGAGACAATTGGAAGAGGAATCCTCTACTCTATTGTCACCTCTTCTTTTTCTATTCACACATGTCAGATAGAGACATGCGTGTGGTAAATTATTTTGTCAGAATGAAAACCTGGCCGATTAAATGCTTTCTTCTCTTCTTGCTGTACTTAATGTCGATCCCTTGTTCATTTCTTGATAATATGTTTGGTTATTTATGTTTTCATTGCTTTTAGTGTCAGAGATGACTTTGGATTCCCAGTTCTGTGTGTTCCTGTCTGGCTCCTGAACCCAGCAGGAGAGGTGAGTCAATCCCAACTGGTGAAATACTGAGAGGAAGCTACGCAGAAAGCAGCAAGGTGTTAATAAGTGTACCTCTGACATTTCAGCCACCTCTGACTTTTCCATGAAATGGACAAGTAGCAGTCTCTGTCAGAGTTACATTTTAAAGAAAAAAAGAAACTTGAAGTCATAAACTGTTTATTAATTTATACTGTTATTTTTGTGTGTTTACTCAACTCGTTTATATTGACTTGTTAATTGGTAATTTGTGAACTATTATTTATGAATTCATTGTCTACATGTCAGCAAACAAATTTTCTTCTTAATAAAGAATCTGGTGACTGGGCACAATGGTTCATACCTGTAATCTCAGCACATTGGGAGAGCAAGGCAGGAGGATTCCGTGAGGCCAGGGGTTCAAGACCAGCCTGGGCAACATAGCAAGATTTCATCTCTACAAAAAAATGAAAACATTGGTGGGGAATGGTGGCTCATTCCTGTAGTTCAGGCTACTTAGGAGCCTGAGGTAGGAGGATCACTTGAACCCAGGAGTTTGAGGCTGCAGTGAGCTGTGATCGTAACACTGCTATCCAGCCTAGGTGACACACCAAGACACCATCTCTTCAAAAAAGAAATCTAGGGGCATCAGTGTGTGCACACAGCATGGCTTGTGAATGAGAAGTGCATGTGTGCATAGTTGTGCTCAAAAATGTGTTGATGATTATACCTTCTCAGAATGCAGGAATTTTTTTTTTTTTTTTTTTTTTTTTTTAGAAGGATTCTTATTTTTTCCCCCAGGCTGGGGTGCTGTGGCACAGTCTTGGCTCCCTGCAACCTCCCCCCCCGAGGTTCAAGCGTTTCTCCTTTCTTAGCCTCCCGGTAAACTGGGATTACAGGTGCCCGCCACCATACCTGGCTAATTTTTGTGGTTTTTTTTTTTTAGTAAGGATGAGGTTTCAGTATGTAGGTGAAGCTGGTCTCGAACTCCTGACTTCAAATGATCCACCCGCCTTGGCCTCCCAAGGTGCTGTGATTACAGTTGTGAGCCACCGCACCCGGCCTGTTTATTCTCTTAAGAGAGAAAATGAGGGGATTAATGGACTGTAGTTCTGGACAAGGTGGAAAACTCTTAAAGTGGAAGTACTGGGGCAAGTGCTGTGACAGGCTAGGATGGTGCAGTCAGTCCCTTCACCCAGAAATCAGTAGAATGTTAGCAGTTCAAACTCAAACCTTGTGAAAAACAAGTGGTGAAAAGGAAGTCCCTTGTAGCAACTGGCGCCATAATCAAGACAGAATGTTGGCAGAATAAATGGAGTTACCTGCTTTCAGCCCCAGGTGGTAGCTATTGTCTGCCCTGACAATAGGTGATATTAATTTGTGATCTTGTTGACTTAAAATAGGGTCACTCATCTCCAGTAGAATTAAGTCCACAGTGAAGTTGTCCCCCCATCCCCAAAGAGATAAACATATATGAACGTACTCACGTGATAACAACTACTGCTGCCTGGGATCATGAGAGACCTGAAATGAACTGATAGGAAGTGAAAGGTGGCTGAGATAATGAGAATAGACCCATCTGCAGAGGATCATAAAACCAGCAACGACAAGATCTTGTCTAATATGCCTTCAGAAGCTTTGTCCATGAGAACTCTAAGGACTTCTCCAGACCTGTTGTCTGCTGCCCAAAAGGAGCCTCTGACCAGCATCCAAAGGGCTTCTGGACCCACTGGACTCTTCTGGAGGTACACTGGTCCCCCGAGCCATGGCTGTGGCTTTTTACTCCCTTTATTACTGCCTGTGTGTAGAATGATAATTGCATAATTAATAGTGTAAAGACCTCTTGATAAATGGTAAATCTGAACATATGTATTGTCTGACGTGTCATTGTGAAACCTCACAGCTTCAGTCAGTGTCAGCGCAGCTAGAGAGCTTTTGTACGTAATGCACATATCACTGGGCATAGTCTACAGGCACCTAATAACTCAGGTACCTTAACAGTCACTAATGAGTATATCTCCAAGGAACAGTCCAACAACACATGACTGGCCTGACTCAAGGTAACTATATGTCCAATCCAGGGTCATAGTGAGTGGACATCTGCCAATCAGAGGTCATTCCCCCTGCCTGCCATTGAGCAGTTCAGAAGTGACTGGTGTAAGCAGACATGAATGAGCTTGCTGAATTCACTATTTGCCTCTTTGGAGGGGATCATACCCAGGATCTAGGTCATTGTGCCTTATGGGAGTCCTACACATTTCACTTGCAAATTATATTTGAAAATTAAATGACCATGTTGCAAGTCATTCACAAGACATTTTTTAAAATTGGATTCCAGAACATCTAGTGACCTATAGAAAGCAGTAGAGAAATGTATTAGGCAAAAAGTTCTGGCAAAGACCAGTGTGATACTGGCCTGATTACCCAACCTCAGGAATTGGTCACATCAACTCAAAGAGCGAAGAAAAATAAAAAGTACCAGCCTTATTACTCAAGACATTAGGAACTATCCATTTAGATAGACGATTTTAGCAAACAAAATATTACAACGTCATCCTGAAGAATATGTCCCTCTTCCAGAGAACCCAGGAGGTTATCATGGCCCCTGGAAAGCCTGACCAGCAGTAACAGTGCAAGTGGCATAGGTGCATGAGTGCAGAAATACAATCTCTACTGCAAGTAAGTTTCATACTAGGCAAGAATTACAGGATATACATAGAACTTTTGCTCACAAAGTCAGATGTACAAATTCAATATGGTTTAGGAGTTAATGGTGGCAAATGGGTCATGCTTACGGAAAGTGAAGTTGGACAAATGACTGTAATAGCAAATAACTCCAGGATGAATGATGAATTAATTGCTAGAGCAGAAAATATCCAAGACTTTCCTGACTTATGATGGGGATGGGTAAAGAAGTTGGATGAGACGATACCCAAACATGATTCCCAGGTTTACCTAAACAATGGAAGACTGTAGAAGATGCCATTAAGCTATTTCAAGAATATGGAAGATTATTATTCACTTCTGATGGGACAGGACTTTATAGGGCACCTGAAAAAATTCCTGTGAAAAATCACTTTTACAAAATGTCAAGTTATGATGTCCAAGATGAAACCAATGAGTCACAACATTCACATAATACACTGTGCAGCCCTGATCTCCTGACTGTCATAAAATGTTTCTTACCTCTAAACCAAAGGTTCATTTTATAATTTAATTTTTCTCATGTTTTCTGTTCTCTTAGCTTAAGAAAAGATCATTACAAACTTTTGTATGTTTTTCATATATGCTTGCAAAGGGTTGTAAAACTTTATTGTGATTATTCTTGCTTTGAGCTGAAACTTCCCTAATCTTTCTTTAGAGATTGTGGCATAGCATGCTAGTTTCCTGTCCATATCCAGTTGTTTTCTGTAGTGAATACAGAAATACAGGCACTATTTTGTAACTTTAAATAGACATCATCTCAAGTCTATAAGAATTATCCAAAATGGGTCGGGCGCGGTGGCTCACACCTGTATTCCCAGCACTTTAGGAGGCTGAGGCAGGCGGATCACAAGATCAGGAGCTCGAGACCATCCCAGCTAACACGGTGAAACCCTGTATCTACTAAAAAATATAAAAAATTAGCTGGGGGTGGTGGTGGGCCACTGTAGTCCCAGCTACTCGGGAGGCTGAGTCAGGAGAATAGCGTGAACCTGGGAGGCAGAGCTTGCAGTGAGCCAAGATCACGCCACTGCACTCCAGCCTGGGCGACAGAGCGAGGTTCCATCTCAAAAATAAAAAGAATTATCCAAAATGATTTCTAATGACCTTTCTGGGTCTTCAGATACTATTAACACAGATTGTAGCCTCTAGGTCCTGAAGATTTTACTGGATACTGGTTACTGAAACTGAGTTTTCTTGAGTTCTTTTTCCTTCCACTGTGGTTTCCCGCGTTTCAACATATCACCTATTTTTGTCCTCAAATGTTACTTAAATATTTTCCACAGAATTAAGTTAAATATGAATCATTCCTCCTTCTCTGATTTTTGAAATGCCCCTTTGCTTCCTATGATAATGATTCTTCTGGTCCGTTTTATAGTTATATGTTAGAGTTTGTAAATATTCACAAATTTTGCAATTGCATATAATTTTCTTATTAATTATTTTTTCCTCTTCCTCTAAAGTTGCTGTTATTTCTTTTAACTTTTTGTAGGAAACATTAAAGCCATCTTTCACTTTGTTGATATACTTATTTATAATTGAACTCCTTGATTTTTGCTCAAATTGATTTTCAAGTTACCCACATTTAGGGAAGACATTATTTGGGTTTTGTTTAGTATATCAGACTTTTTTTAGTTAGTTGTGTCAAGAAGTGTAGACTTTTCTATACATAAAATCCTTTTTCCCACAGTAGTTTTTCTTTTTTTTTTTAAGTGTGTTAAAATAAAGGTCATCAAAAGATGTTTTCCTAAACCTTTCCTTTGCCAAAAATATCTCTAGAGTCACATGGTCCTTTCTCCCTTCTTGCTTTTGTGGGAGTCCAAAGCTAATCTAAACAATTTCATTGGGCAACAGGAGCAAAACTTCATCTCAAAAAAATAATAATAATTTATAGTGTCACTTCCCATCCAAGCTTGACTTCTACCTTTACTTTCTGATATGGTTTGGCCATGTCTCCACCCAAATCTCATCATGAATTGTAATCCCGATAATCCTCAAGTGTTGAGGGAGGGGCCTGGGGGGAGGTGAGTGGATCATGGGGGCAGTTTTCATCATGCTGTTCTTGTGGTATTCAGTGAGTCCTCATGAGATCTTATAGGGTTTGGTCTTGTTTTGTTTTGTTTTATTTTTTGGGATGGAGTCTTGCTCTGTTGCCCAGGCTGGAGTGCCATGGCATGATCTTGGCTCATTGCAGCCTCTGCCTCCTGGGTTCCAGTGATTTTCCTGCCTCAGCCTCCTGAGTAGCTGGGAATACAGGCATGCACCACCACACCCAGCTAATTTTTCTAATTTTAGTAGAGACAGGATTTCACTACATTAGCTAGGCTGGTCTCAAACTCCTGACCTCAGTTGATCCACCTGCCTTGGCCTCCCAAAGTGCTGGTTCCAAGTGTGAGCCACCGTGCCTAGCTGAGATCTGATGGTTTTATACGTGTTTGACAGTTGCTCCTTCACATGTTCACACTCTGTGCGGTCACCATGTAAGTCAGACCTGGTTCCCCTTCTGCCATGATTGTAAGTTTCCTGAGGCCTCCCCAGCCATGTGAAACTGTGAATCAATTAAACCTCTTTCCTTTATAAATTACCCAACCTCAGGTATTTCTTTATATCAGTGTGAAAACAGACTGATACACTGTCTGATATTCATGCTTGAGGAATTGGGGAATTCAGACTACCTGGGCTCAAATTGTGCCCCACCCTTAGCAGTCATGTGACCTTGGGGAGGTTACTTACCTTCTCCATCTCAACTCCTGTAAAGTCTGTAAATGAGATTGTTTCTGAGGGTTAAATGAGCATAACACAGTGGGGACACTGTCAGGCACACACTACTTGCCAGATGTCAAGTATTCATCTTTATTGAATTAGGACTGTGGTAACCCACTTTAGATTGCAGTAAACCACTTTATGGCTCTCGATTTTGTATGACAAAATCATGCATAGTACTGTTAGTAAAAGAAAGAAAATCTGAAAGTCCCTGCCATGGAAGGAAGAAATAGCGGGGAGAAAAGGGAGTTGGTAAGTTTCAGCATTTCAGAGCTTGGAGGGACAAGTTAGGTTTCTATTTTGTGGAGAAGGAGGTGGAGGCAGGATGGGTCCTAAGGTGTCATTCAAGACACATAGCCGTAACTCTTTATTGAGAGTAGAGCTAGGGAACCAGGGATTGCTGTGGTCAAGTTGCAGACAAAAACGACCACTCATTGGAAGACAGGAGAGGAGTGTTTAGTTACAAAAGCAGTCAGCCGTTCAGGTGTATCTACATTCAGTCAGCAAATAAAAGTTGTTCAACTTGGTTGCTAAAGGGACCCACTCTACTGAGGCTTTGTGTAGAACTCATAGAGGAAGATGGCTTCAAGTAACGAACTACCCTGTGCTTTTCTTAGGACTAAAAATCTCAGGAAGCTGGTGATGGATGAAAACCTTAGTCCACCTGGCACTGCACGAGGGGCCAGGTGAGGAGCAGCATCATAAGCTACAGGGTGGGGCAGCCCAGGCAAGGGCATTCTGAACTGTTGGGGAGGGGTGGCAGCCAGGGTGGGGCACTATGAGCTTTCGGGGAGGGCATTGTGTGCCACATGCCTGGGCTCCCACCTGGGCCAGTGGGCTTCAGTCTGTAGGTGACTACAGAAGGAGGAGGAGCTCTGTCTGTTCTCTCTTCAGGCAGTTGTTGTGTCTCTCAGTGCTTGTTGGGTTCACAACCTATTAAATAAGTCGACTGGTCTTCACCCTCCCAGACAAGTCAACTCGGGGAGGTGGCAGGGTGCAGGCCTTGGTCCGGGCCCCGGGCCCCAGGCTGTGAGGTAGGCAGGTGAGCAGTGGGCAAGACCATCTCTGCAAGTGCAGCATAGCCTCGGCCTAGGGCAGTGGGAGTGCGAGGCCAAAGCTGTGAGCAGGGGCACAGGTGGTGGCAGACAGTAGAGGCGTCCCATGGGGAGCATACTGACCTGTTATGTGCGCCCCAGGGCCAGCCACGAGTTTGACCAGCTGCGGGGGTCAGTATGTCCCTCTGAGTCTGAGATCTATGAGACGGGAGCTGGGGACGGGATGGCAGGAGCTGGGGACAGGATGGCAGGGGCACCCATGGCTGCTGCTGTGCAGCCTGCTGCAGTGACTGTTGAAGTTGGTGAGGACCTCCACATGCACCACATCCATGACTGGGAGATGCCTGAAGGTAAGGAGGTGACGGATGCCATCTGCCTTCTGCTTGCCTCTGGCTGCTGCTGTCCCCAAGGTCCCCTGGGAGGCATCGCCCACTTCGAGCTCCTTTCTGTCTGTAGCCAGCTTTCCCGGGGGCTGGCCAGGAGCACAAGCTGGCTCTGCCTTGCATTCCCACCCCTTAGTCTTTCCCCACCAAGTCCAGCAGTTTCTTTTCACCTCCCCTCCCAATCGCCCACTTCTTGCTCTCTCGTCTTTCTCCCAGGCTGCCATGGGACCATTTATTTATAGCTCTTCTTGTTGAATAAGCAGCAATTGAATAAACGAGTTGATAAATTTTTATAAATGGTTACATCTTTTTTACTTTTCTCCCTCTATACATATAGCTTTGGAGTTTAACCCTTCTGCTAATCCAGAGGCAAGCACAATATTCCATGGGAACTGTCAAACAGATGGTGAGACAACATTGTCTGTAACTCGGTTTATCATCCTGTGGGACTTTGTTGAGGCTTCTTTGGACTATTCTCTTCCTTTTCTCAATAAAAACTCAAATATCCCAACTTTCCAGCACCCATCTTATTTTTTCTTTGTACCTACCTACATGGTACCTAAGTGAAGGAACCAGGTAAGTGCCTAATTGTTTCCTTTGTTAAAGTAGCTAAATCTCAGGACAGTTCATATTCAGGTATTCGGGAATTTCTTATTTAAAATCAGAATGGAGGTTGCCATGGGAGAGGCTGTATGGCATTCTTAATGGGCTGCTGTAAGTCACCTTGATAGAGGCTGCTTAGTTTCTTCTAACTGTAATTTGAATGCAGAAGGAAAAAGAAAAAAGAAGAGTGCTTAAAATAATTGTGAAACAGTGTGAAACATCCTGGTCAGGGCTACAGAAAAGTGGTTGTGTGTGTGTGTGTTTGGGGTTTCTCAAAGGAGTTTACCTATGAGGCTCTGATTACTTTAAAATTCTTACTTTAACACAAAATATGTCTCCAGATTTATTCTGGTGACTTAACAGACTTTACCTCCTTGTTCTAAAAGATGTGGGGATTGGGTCATGGTCAAAACTTTCAAAAGACATGAAATGTCAGTGTAGACTTTTAATGTATAATATAAAGATCGCAGGTTAAAGTCTCAGACTTTCCCTGTAAGAGTGTTTGTTGCCATGGCTCCCACTCTATTCTTTCCTTTCCTGACAACAGCATCTTGTTCAAAGAGAAGAAAGTTGGAGTTTTGGCCGGGAACGGTGACTCACGTCTGTAATCCCAGCACTTTGGGAGGCTGAAGCGGGCGGATCACCTAAGGTCAGGAGTTCGAGACCAGCCTGGCCAACAGGTGAAAACCCGTCTCTACTAAAAAAAAAAATACAAAAATTAGCTGGGCGTGGTGGCGCATGCTTGTAGTTCTAGCTATTCATGAGGCTGAGGCAGGAGAATTGCTTGAACCCGGGAGGCGGAGGTTGCAGTGAGCAGAGATCGCGCCAATGCACTCAGCCTGGGTGACAAGAGTGAGACCCCATCTCACCAAAAAAAAAAAGGTTGGAGTTTTTCAGTCTCTACGCTGCTGGGAGAGGCAGGGGATGGGAGGCAGTAGAAAAGAGAAAACAGTTGGTTTGCCTCTAAAATTTTACAAAGAGATTAAGTAAAAGTAATTCTGGGTAATAATATGGTTCTTGAATAAAAACTAAAATTTTCAAAATAGAAAACGTTGCATCATAAAGATATTAAATCCAGTTGGCTTATTGGTTTCATTTAAATGCCAGAGATTCATTACCGTGGAGGAAATGTCTTATAGCTCTTCTATTTAAACTTTGGTTGGGCTCTTAATTTTTTAAGAAGTAGAATAATTAAGACTCCTGATGAGTGTGACTTTGTAATTTGGAAGTACTATCCTCACTTTTCAAGATATTTAAGGATTGCTTTAGAACAAACAAATATATGAATTAATTGATTATACCTTTATACACAAAACATGTAAGTACTTGTGTAAACATATAGTCTGCTTGGTGATGTAAGGAAAACCTGATTGATGTTACACACCAGTTAGTAGATGGGTAGTATTGGATGAGAGCCCAAAAATGGCTCTTTATTGTCATTCTTTAGGATTACAACACAGTTTATGTATGTCTCACTTGGCCCTTTCCAATACAAATAAGGCCTGTGTATGTTCTCCCTTTGTATTGCTAATGAAGAAATGAAGACTTAGAGATATCACATGACTGTGGAAGATAGCTACTCAACAGAACTAAGGTTCTATGTCTCCAAATGACATGGAAGTGACAGATATGCTGAATTTACTTTAAAAAATTTTTTAAACTCTAGAATACATCTTATACTTTGACTATAAAATAGACCTGTCTGTTAAAACTTACTGCCATCTTGATTTATTTTATGCAAAGTTGATTTTACACAACTCAAAGCCAACATTTACCTCTTCTTTTTTTTTTTCCAAATGAAGAAGAGTGTCACTCTGTTACTCGTGCTGGCCTCAAATTCCTGACCTGGGTTCAAGTGATTTTCCCACCTTAGCCTCCTGAGTAGCTGGGACTACAAGCATGTGCCATCTTGCTTGGCTCTTTCTTATGTCTATACATTCATTTCAGTGGATAAGAATAAAAGTAGAGGCAGTGAAATAGCCTAAATGCAGCAGTCGAATAAATGAGTTGATAAATTTTTATAAATGATTACATCTTTTTTTCTTTTCTCCCTCTATACATATAGCTTTGGAGTTTAACCCTTCTGCCAATCCAGAGGCAAGCACAATGTTCCAGAGGAACTCTCAGACAGATGGTGAGACAGCTGTTTTTTCCGCCAAGAGAAAGAATAAAAGCTCTTCTTTGATCAGGTTATAGAAAGTATTTAGGAAAAACTCATATTGGTTTAAATTTTTCACCTTTTCACATGTTCACTTGTCTTATTTTAACCTGTGATATACTTTCCTTTAGTTGTTATCATGTTAGTGAAAACATGTAACCTTTTTGTTTATACATTTTGCCATCTTTTTATCAATACAATTAATGTGTCATGTGATGGAGGAGTCATGGATTTCTCTTTATTTATAATTCTTGGATTTATCTTTATTTATAATTCATGGTTTTATCTTTATTTACAATCCCTTTTCCCTTGCTCCAAAGAGTACATTTTAAAGATGAATGATAGAACTTAGGCTTCAGCTTGGTTTTCATTTAAACAAATTAAAAAACATAGTTGTTTATCATCGGAGATTGAATCTGTGATTTGGGCCTCCTCTCACACAGTCCTCTGACCGCATTCATTTACCACATCCAAATTTATGCTACTAAAAACTTTTAGGTTATTAACCTTTTCATTTAATGTAATGTCAATTTAAACATGCCCTACTTCTGCTTATTTTCCTCAATGTTATGTTAAATCCTCATTTATTTGCCAAAAAGCCATACACAGCCAAGTTTTCCAGTTGACTTAAACAGCAAGAATACAAGTGAGGGTTCTATAATAATATGTGAAGTAATGCAGCACAGTAAAACATGGGAGTTTGTAACCTTTGTTTTTATAGTTTGAGTAGACTTTGCCCATCTTGAGTCAGTTATTTGTGGTTAGAATTTGTGTTCATTTTTTACATTACTATAAAGAGATACCTAATCCTGGATAATTTATAACAAAAAGAGGTTTAATTGGCTCATAGATCTTCAGGCTGTACAAACATGGCTTCAACATCTGCTTCTGGAGAGGGCCTCAGCAAGCTTACAATCGTGATAGAAGGCAAAGGGGAAGCAGGTGGTTCCACACGGTGAAAGAGGGAGGAGAGAGGGGAAGGGGGAAGGTACCACCCTCTTTTTTTTTTTTTTTTTTGAAATGGAGTTTCGCTCTGTTGCCCAGGCTGGAGTGCAATGCAGCGATCTCGGCTCACTAGAACCTCCTCCTCCCAGGTTCAAGCAATTCTCTTGCCTCAGCCTCCTTAGTAGTTGGGACTATAGGCAGGCACCAAAACACCTGGCTAATTTTTGTATTTTTGGTAGAGACAGGGTTTCACCATGTTGGCCAGGCTGGTCTCAAACTCCTGACCTCAGGTAATCTGTCTGCTTCAGCCTCCCAAAGTGCTGGGATTACAGGCTTGAGCCACTTCACCTGACCAGTACCACACTCTTTTAAACTACCATAATGACAATTTGCTTATTACCATGGGAATGGGACCAAGCCATTCATAAGGAATCCCCCAAACACCTCCCACTAGGCCCTGTCTCCAACATTAAGGGTCACATGTTAACATGAGGTTTGGAGGGGGAACATATCCAACACATATCAGAATTGTATTTCCCAGCTTCTTCCAGAGCCATTGGCTTCTCTCACCTAGAGAGCATGGAAGCGGTAAAAGAAAAGCTATTCCATGTCCCTCACTCTTCAGTGGTAGGAACTTTTGCCTATAAGGCCCTTCCAGCATCAAAGGCAGAGGCAGTGTGGGAAACAAAGCATGGCCCAAGTCCTTCTTGGGGCTTTTATTATTCGGGCTTTTTTTAGGAAAAATAAAAATATTTATTGTGGTGCAGACACCATGTCCAATTAAGTTTGCATACTCATTTTACAATTAAAATTTAGGCCAGGCTCTGTGGCTTACACCTGTAATCCCAGCTCTTTGGGAGGCTGAGGTGGGTGGATCACAAGGTTAGGAGATCAAGACCATCCTGGCTAATGCAGTGTAACCCCGTCTCTACTAAAAATACAAAAAAAAATTAGCTAGGTATGGTGGCATGTGCCTGTAGTCCCAGCTAGTCAGGAGGCTAAGGCTGGAGAATCACTTGAACCCGGGAGGCAGAGGTTGCAGTGAGCTGAGATCCCGCCACTGCACTTCAGCCTAGGTGACAGAGTAAGACTCTGTCTCAAAAAAAAAGAAAAGAAAAAAATTAAGATAGGTCACTTTCCAGTTGTATAAAGACCCTTTTTTGTTTTGTTTTTAGTGACATTTTAGTAGATAACCACTAAGTGTGGTTCAAGATGCTTGCAGGGATTCTGTTGCATCTAGAGATAGGTGCCTGGTCAGGAAGTAGTTCTTAGAGCTGTTAGCTCTTAGCTTCTGATAATTAAAGTAACCTATGTATAAATGCAGAATGAGAGAATACTAATGGATCATGGCTTATATATGCAACAGTTAAACTTTTTATTAGCTAAATTTTTCATCTGGCCTAAATTTTTGCGCTTTTCTTTTGTACGTGAGGATTCTTTCATTTGAATGTAATAGAAACAAAAAGTAAACTAGATGAAAAACTAAGTTTTTAGATTTTACTTTATGAAATTAATCATGCCAGATAATTTAAATTATAAATTATTGAAAATAATTTTTTAAATGTAATTTTGTCTCATTTTACATAGGAGTAATCAGTAAGATGTTAACAACTACTTTTATTTTATAGTATTTGTGTCAGAAGTGACCAGTTTTTTTTATTCTTAGTTGTAGAAATAAGAAGAAGCAACTGTACAAACCATGTAAGTAAACAGTCAAATAGTTAAGAAATTGATAGTTTGACATAAAAGTATGTCTCTTTTGATTTCTTTAAATTAAAATGTGGACCCACTGGCGATAGCATGGACCTCTTTTTGTGGATTTTCTAAATCTCTTCTATTTTCCTAAGTATTAAATTTATCCAGAAAAGTATTTAGCTTAGTGTGTCCACCTTTTAAAGATTTCTGACATTTAAGTTAAATTTCAATAGTCTGGTTCAAAAGATCTGCTTTAAGGCTGGGTGTGGTGGCTCATGCCTGTAATCCCAGCAGTTTAGGAGGCCGAGGCGGGCAGATCAGCTGAGGTCAGGAGTTTGAGACAACCCTGACCAACATGGTGAAATTCTGTCTCTACTAAAAATAGAAAATTAGCCGGGCGTGGTGGCACATATCTGTAATCTCAGCTACTCAGGAGGCTGAGGCGGGAGAGTCGCTTGAACCTGGGAGGCAGAGGTTGCAGTGAGCCAAGATCATGCCATTGCTCTCCAGCCTGGGCGACAGAGTGAAAAAAATATCTGTCTTAAATATTTAATCTTATTTTTAATGAAATAACAAAAATAGAATAGCTAAGTTAATTGCCAGCACTGTCTGTTGACTTTCTATCACAGCAAGTAAAAGCATACCTTCCTCAATACACCATGATCTTATTTTTCTCCCTCCTTTTCTTCCAGTATTAGCACACTTTTTCATTAAATCAGTAATATTTACATAATTATGACTCTGCAAATATTATTCACTGCTAAGTCATATGGTATTTTCTCTGTGTCTCTGCATTACATATCCTTCATCCTGTCTCCGAAATATCCTGTCTCACATAACTGCTGTCTTGTGTGGAATCACGTGAGTCCTAGATTCTGTGTTTCCTTCTGTCCTGTTATCCCCTCTAGTTGTACTTGAACACATTTTCCTGGGTGGAGATGTTTAGAGAGCTGGCCAGTCTTAAAATCCCTCCTCTTTGATAGAGAGGACGCCTCTACACTGAATCTAAATTTTATGGTTCTGAAGACATTTTGCAGTTGTGCTGTCATTACAGTGTTGTTCTTGAATCTGTTGCCAGTGTGTGATACACTATTTACAACCAGGTTTTAGGTATCTGTGGAAGCTTTTTAGGATCTTCTCTCTCTCTGAGGTTCTGAAATTTTATAATAACAGCATGTTGGGGATCTTTTCATTTTATTGAGACTACTAAACCTGAGACTATCTCTTCTTGAGAATTTTTTTTTAATTTTCTCTGTTACTTTTTTACAGATAGTCTTGTTATTGAGATGCTAGGCTGCTTAGTGCAGTACACCTGCATTGGTTTTTAATTTTTCCCCTTCTATTTTTTTCAGTTTATCTTTTTATTCTAGTTCTGGGATATTCTGTGACTTTATCCTCTACTATTTCTATTGAATTTTATATTTTTGAGAGTGTTTTAAGATTTTTTGTTAACTTTTGCTCCTGGTTTTGACTGCTCCTATGAATTCCTTTTTTCTGTTGTTTTGATTTCTGTTGTTGGAGGCTTCCCTCCAATGTGTGGTGGTCCCTGGCCTGCTTTATTTGGAAGCAGGACTTCTGTTAACTGATAGCACTCAGTGTGAGGTTTTGGAAGCCAAACTAGCTTTTCATTTGGGGGACCTCAGTGTATTGTCTGGGGATCTTTACTCGAAACATTTCAGTTTCTTCTGAGAAGGAGCTCCCAATTTTCTGCCTGGAAAGTAAAAGCATGGCCACTTGCTTTCCAAAAGCAGAGTTAGTGAAGAAAGTTGGAGTTCCATTTTTGGTATATAGTTTTCTTTATATCTCAGGTTTAAGCCATGGTATCTCTGAGCCAGAAATTCTCAGGTTTGATACATCCAGAGAACACACATCTAAGTTCCTTGTCAGATGGAAGGACAGGTGGACTTGGGCCTCTGGTTAGAGATTTTCAACTGACCTTGCTGGCTTTTGTTTTACATTTTACCCAACTTTTCAAAGTGCCATTTGCCTGTAAGTCCACAACCTGCCTTTAGTTCTGCAAGACAAACTGGCTCGCTTCGGTTCCAGTCACTTTCTGTAGGGACCAAAGTTGTGCTTCCATGTTATTTACTACTCCTTTATCTACTTTTTATGTCTCAGCATTTATTAAAAATTATCTCTGTCAACCTTCTCTCCTGGTCATGTGTGTAACGTTTATTTTATGACTGATGAGACTTCTGGAGGGAGAGGAAATAAATTCGTGGTCAGTCTATTATATTTAATCCAAATTTAGGACCTATGTTTAAATCAAAGTCTAATTTGAGTATAATTACTGATATTAACCCAGAGAATTTATAAAATTAATGTATCTATAATAAGCATATTACACTTTTCTCCTAAGGCCTTGTTTAATATTTTCAAACTTTATCCACTGCCATATACTTCCCATTACTTCACAACAGAGATGGAGCTGTTTTCATGAACGTCCAAAGTGTTGGAAATAAATATTTAAGTTAATTAAGATTTGTTCATTTTTAGCCTGGTCAACATAGCAAGACCTCATGTCTACACAAGGGTTAAATAACAGATTAGCCAGGCCTGGTGGCATGTGCCTTTTGTTTTACCTACTCAGGAGGCTGAGGCAGAGGATCGCTTGAGCTCAGGAGTTTGAGGCTGCAGTTAACTATATTTGTACCACTGCTCTCCAGCCTGGGCAACAAAGGGAGACCCTGTCTCAGAAAAAGGAAAAAAGTTATTAATTCTTTAAAAACATATCTAAAATTTGTCCTGCCCAAAAGGAGAGTGAAAAATGTAAACTTTAGTCTTTGTTTTATTTTATTTATGTTTGCTGAGAAAAATGCTGTACTTTATTTATTTATTTATTTATTTATTTATTTATTTATTTTTTCCATAGGTTTTGAGGGGAACGGATGGTATTTGGTTACATGACTAAGTTATTTAGTAATGATTTGTGAGATTTTGGCATACCCATCACCTAAGCAGCATCCACTGAACCCAATTTATAGTCTTTTATCCCTCACTCTCCTCCCAACCTTTCCCCCGACTCCCCAGATTCCGTTGTATCATTCTTATGGCTTTGCATCCTCATAGCTTAGCTCCCATGTGTGAATGAGAACATACGATGTTTGGTTTTCCATACCTGAGATACTTCACTTAGAATAATAGTCTTTACTTCCATCCAGGTTGCTGGGAAATGCCGTTAGTTTATTCCTTATGATGGCTGAGTGGTATTCCTCGTGTATATATCTATATGTATATCACAATTTCCTTATCCACTCATTGACTGATGGGCATTTGAGCTGGTTCCATATTTTTGTAGTTGTAATTTGTTTGAGTTCCTCATAGATTCTGGATCGTAGCCCTTTGTCCGATGTATAGACTGTGAAGATTCCCTCCCACTCTCTGGGGTGTCTGCTTACTCTGCTGATTGTTCCTTTTCCTGTGCAGAAGCTCTTTAGTTAAGTCTCACCTGTTTGTTTCTGTTGCATTTGCTTTTGTGTTCTTGGTCATGAAGTCTTCACCTAAGCCAGTGTCTAGGTGGGTTTTTCCAGTGTTATCTTCTAGAATTTTTATGGTTTCAGGTCATAGATTTATGTCCTTGATCCATCTTGAGTTGATTTTTGTGTAAGGTGAGAGTTGAGGATCCAGTTTCATTATCCTGCGTGTGGCTTGCCAATTATCCCAGCACCATTTGTGGAATAGGGTTCGCTTTCTTCACTTTATGTTTTAGTTGGCTTTGTTGAAAATTAGTTGGCTATAGGTATTTGAGTTTTGTTTCTGGGTTCTCTATTCTGTTCCATTGGTATATGTGCCTATTTTTATACCAGTGCCATGCTATTTTGGTGACTATGGCCTTATAGTATAGTTTGAAATTAGGTCATGTGATGCCTCCAGATTTGTTGTTTTTGCTTAGTTTGGTTTGGCTATGCGGGTTCTTGTTTGTTCCCATAGGAATTTTAGGATTGATTTTTCTAATTATGTGAAGAAGGATGGTGGTATTTTGATGGGAATTGTGTTGAATTTGTAGATTGCTTTTGGCAGTATGGTCATTTTCACAATATTCGTTCTACCCATTCATGAGGATAGGATGTCTTTCCGTTTGTATGTGTCCATGATTTCATACAGCAATGTTTTGTAGTTCCCAACGGCATATCAAAAAGATAATCCAGCCAGGAGCGGTGGCTCACTCCTGTAATCCCAGTACTTTGGGAGGCTGAGGCGAGCGGATCATGAGGTCAGGAGTTCGAGACAAGCCTGGCCAACGTGGTGAAACCCCATCTCTACTAAAAATACAAAAGTTAGCCCGGCGTGGTGGCACGTGCCTGTAATCCCATCTTCTCAGGAGGCTGAGGCGGGAGAGTCGCTTGAACCTGGGAAGCAGAGGTTGCAGTGAGCCAAGATCAACCCACTGCATACTCCAGCCTGGGCAACAGAGCGAGACTCCATCTCGAAAAAAAAAAAAAGATAATCCACCATGATCAAATGTTTTTCATACCAGGGATGCAGGGATGGATTAACATACACAAGTCAGTAATTGTGATACAACCACTTTGGTTTTGACTTACTAAATTACTAGGTGCAATTATTTTCTAGTTTTTGTTATTAAACCTTAAAACTACTAAGTAACCCCTTCCATTTCTTGTTAAAGATCGTAAAATTTCATACTCTGATTTATGCTGACTGATGTTAGATTATTTGTTTCTATTTTGTGACTACCTTAAATAATAGCTATAAATAGTAAACTGTTAGTAGTGTTTTGCTGTAATTAAATGTAGTGAGACTTATCTACCAAATGATAACCAAATTATCAAACACTGTCGAAGTTTTGGATTTACTCAAAATTCTATGCTTAGCAGCTGGAGGTAGGAAGAGTAAGGGACCTCCCTACTCTTATGGAGAGGCATACTTTCTCATGAGGGGAATACTCTGCAAGAATTAGCATCTTGTAAACAGCAGTGAATTCGACTAATTAGTGTACAAAAAAATATTTTTTGGTGTGGCTGCCGACAAAGAGATCCAAGAGGGTAGATGGAGTCAAGCTTGCTGAAACAAGGAAAGAGAAAAGCAGTATTCTAGGCAGAGAGCAGGGGTAGAGCAGGAAAATGGCTAGGTGCAGGTCAGATGATTTACAGAATGAAATTAATCAAGTTTTGAAATTGGAAAGTATTCTCTGAGAGTCTCATTTGAGCCATGTCATGGCAGTCTTATTTAAACATGAAGTGAAAGTTAGATTTTTTAAGTTGTCATCTGTTTTCAGGGTGTGAGAGAATATTTAAGTGATACTCTTTTTATCCTCCACATAAGAAAATAGGACTAGAGAAACCTATGGCTTCCTCACTTGTTGGTGGCCTAGCAGCCCCGGCACGCCATTCTCCTGCCTCAGCCTCCCAAGTAGCTGGGACTACAGGTGGCCACCACCACGCTTGGCTAATTTTTTGTATTTTTAGTAGAGACAGGGTTTCACCGTGTTAGCCAGGATGGTCTCGATCTCCTGACCTCATGATCCGCCCACCTCGGCCTCCCAAAGTGCTGGGTTTATAGGTGTAAGCCACCACGCCCAGCAAAGCCGACTTTTCTCATGATTTTTAAAGGTAATTTGTAAAATCCTTGTTAGGTTTGATGGCAGGTACCATATGAAGGGCAGCATTTTATAACCCGTATCTTAAACATCGTATCTGGAAGTTAAGAGCCTCCAATGGGTTTTCTGTAGAGTGCACATGATACCGCACTCAGGCAGTTCATGGAGTGTAAGAAATATCTTACTGCTTTGTCATTTCACATTTTAACCAAGAAAAAATACACTTTAATAAGTTTAGCTTACACTTCCCTTCCCCTTCAGGTATCTACTGTGCGTTTCAGTCAACAATACAGCTCATGTTCGACAATATTCCTTGATGACAGCACAGCCAGCCAGCCTTATCTTACAATGACAATAATATCGTGAGTACAACTATACTGCCAAGGGATGGATTCCTTTATTCTAAAATTATTTCAGCCATTTGGTTGTCCTCTTCCGCAATCAGTTTAAGAAATTGGAGTCAACTATATGTTGATATCCAGATTCTAAATATTAAGTATCAATTTCTCTTTTAATCTTAGACACCATGGTGGAAGGAAAAATCAGTTAGCAGAGAAGCAATCCCAGAAAAAGTGTATCTTTTGATACCTTTATGCCTTTAGACAATGTTGAACACAGTGAGGCTAGGTTCCCTTTATTGAATGTTTTTTGTGAAAACCTAGTTTTTCAATGCATTATAGGACTAAATCAGTGTGCACTACTTTCTTTGGACATTAGCCTTGGAAGAAGGAACAGCTTTTCCTCTTTTGGCACCACAGTGTATCTGCATTTGAATTTCTCCCATTGTGCATGAGCACCTCATGGGCCACAAAGATGCACTTTGAGAGCACCCTGAGATGAAGTTTATTTTAAAAGGAACAACAACTAACACCAGCACCAGCTCCATGGGGGCTTCCAGTGTACATTATTATCATTTCCTTGGGTTATGAGTATTGATTTTTAGAACACAGTTTGGAAAGTGCTAATTTAGAATATTAATGTCTTTATCTTTAATTTTACTTTTCATTCTGTAAACATAACTAGCTTATAAACAATTTTGTTTCAAATGCACTAGCCTTTTTAGCTAATTCAATTGTCAGTAACTTTTATTTCAATTAAAAATGGCAAGTTTACACTCATAATAATGTCACTGTTCTCCTGCCCTTTTTTTTTTTTTTTTTTTTTTTTTTTTTTTTTTTTTGAGACAGAGTCTCGCTGTGTCTCCCAGACTGGAGTGCAGTGGCGCGATCTTGGCTTACTGCAAGCTCCACCTCCCAGGTTCACACCATTCTACTACTTCAGCCTCCCATGTAGCTGGGACTACAGGCGCCTGCCACCACACCTGGCTAATTTTTTGTGTTTTTAGTAGAGACAGGGTTTCACTGTGTTAGCCAGGATGGTCTCGATCTCCTGACTTCGTGATCCACCCAACTCGGCCTCCTAAAGTGCTGGGATTACAGGTGTGAGCCACCACGCCTAGCCTCTCCTTCCCTTTTAACAATAGTTGTGATGAAATTGTGTTTCAGCAAAAATTGGACTCAAACTCTGTCTCAAGTCCTGAGCTTTGGGACCTATTGAGTAATCACTAAATGTCTGTAGTCAGCTGAGTCTCTTAAATCTTTGAGCACACATACACAAAAACTGCTTTACCTAGAGTGCCTGGCTTCTTTTGAGTTCAAAAGATTTTCATGTGTTAGCATACAATTCAAAAGTAGCTTTGAAGATTAATCTTTCTCAAACAAATTTCATACTTTTTTCTTCATTATTCTACTTTTTAGAAGTCTACTTTTGAAAGTAAAGTAAGTTTTAATTTGCCATTAGCAAGTTTGAGAAATAATCAATTGATATATTCACTATTGATGAAATAAAGGTTTATTGAGCAAATTAATAGGGCAAACTGGCTTCAAGAAAAGATTTTGAAAAATGTTTATCATGAGTCAGTAGTGCAGTGTTATCAGTGGGATAGGTGGAACTCACTGAGATCACTTATGCAAGGTTTTCTTTTTTCAAAATACGTGTCTGCAAACACATGTATCTTCCCATCTTCACTTTCCCTCTATCTCTAGGCACTGAGAAGCCTTTTAGGAAAATAGGGATGGATGTGAGGCATCTTTATGTGAAGAAAAGCATCCCAGAAGATTCTGATTTTCACCCTAGCTCAATCATTCCAAACTTTGCTGCACATTGAAATCACCTGGGAAACTTTTACCAACAATCTTGATGCCCAAAGTCATACCCAACACTCATTAAATTAAAATGTCTCATGTTGAAGATGAGGCCATTATTAAAGCTTCTCAGGTGATTTTAATGTGCAGCAAAGTTTGAGAGCCACGGCTTAATTTGAGTTTAGGATGAAAAACTGCTCCTATGTGGTGGGACCTTGGGCAAGTCAGTTTTAAGGTTTGTTTCCCTGATCTGTAACATGAATGTTGAATTAAATGTCGTGTAGAGTCTTGGTCCTTTCCAGCATGTAACTTTAAATTCTGTAATTTTAAAATTCTTTTACTTGAAGTATTATTGACATGTCCATCTTACATGCCAATGTTACAGGCTTTTTAAAAAGTGCTAATATTGTATAGACCTATTACTAAAATTGAGATTTGCCTTCCCTCAGTTATTTTGAGCCTCATTCTACAAAATTAGCTGGGCATGGTGGTGCATGCCTGTAATCCCAGCTACTCAGGTGGCTGAGGCAGGAGAATCACTTGAACCCGGGAGGCAGAGGTTGTGGTGAGCTGAGATCACACCATTGCACTCCAGCCTGGGCAACATGAGCAAAATTCCATCCCCCCACAGAAAAAATTACCTGGGTATAGAGGCGCAACCTGTAGTCCCAGCTCCTTAGGAGGCTGAGGCATGAGAATCGCTTGAACCTGGGAGGTGGAGGTTGTGGTGAGCCAAGATCACACCACTGCACTCCAGTCTGAGCAACAGAGTGAGACTCTGGGTCAATAAATAAATACATACATAAAATAAATCGCATGGGATGAAAGGCTTTGGTGGGCAGAAGAGCATTTAACAAGGAAATCTGTTATTATTTATATATTATAACCGTCAACAGAAACGCGTCTTCTAACAGCATATTGCCTTGCATTTTGGTTCTCATATTTTTATAAAAAACCAAGAAATGAAACAGCCCTTATGGTGCTGTTCTGAACTAGAAGATTTGAATTTCAGGGCCGCTAGGAGAGTTTCCTCTGCCCCCGTTTTAAAAAATGTCTTCAGGCCTAACAAATGATAACATCTATTGTTATGAATTGTTTTTCCTTCCACAGAGTGACCTTGGAGATACATCATGATATCACGCAAAGGTGAGCTTTTTAGAAACCTGTCTTGTTATTCTAGCTAATTACTTTGCAAGATATCAAGCTCAGTGTTAGGTCACAGCTCTGGACATCATAAGCTGTATTGTGCCTGCTAAAATATCAAAGCAAATTATTTGTGTTTTCTTTGTTCCTTAAGACTCTTAATTCTTAAATGATTGAGAATCTCAAAGAGTATGTGTTTATATTGATTATATTGATATTTACTGTGGTAGAAATAGAAAATTGAGATTTTTTTTCAAAATCTATTTTTAGTTTAGATTTCACAGCCTTACCACTGTTGATATTATGAGCTAGATAACGGTTTGTTGTGAGGACTGTCCTGTGCATTGCAGAGAGTTTATCAGCATTAATGGCCTCTACCAACTAGATGTCAGTAGTAACCCATGGCCCAGGTTGTGACAACAGAAAATATTCCTTGAGAACAATATTTTTAACAGAAATTTTTCATTGAAAAAATAACTTTTCTACAGTCAAAAGTTGAGTAAAAAGTGTGTCATGTATTTGTATTATTTAAAGTCTCTCATGTTGACCTTCATAGGAGACAACTGGATTCTCTAGATGTTTCTTTGCAATTTGCTTTAAAGAAGCAGTAAGAGGCTGGGTGCGGTGACTCAACACCTGTAATCCCAGCACTTTGGGAGGCCAAGATGGGCGGATCACAGGATCAGGAAATCGAGACCGTCCCAGCTAACACAGTGAAACCCTGTCTCTACTAAAAATACAAAAACTTAGCTGGGCATGGTGGCACACACCTGTAGTCCCAGCTATTCTGGAGGCTGAGGCAGGAGAACCGCTTAAACTCAGGAGGCGGAGGTTGCAGTGAGCCGAGATTATGCCACTGCACTCCAGCCTGGGTGACACAGCAAGACTCCGTGTCAAAAAAATAAATAAATAAATAAAGCAATCAGCTGGCCAGGCGCGGTGGTTCACACCTGTAATCCCAGCATTTTGGGAGACCGAGGTGGGCGGATCACTTGAGGTCAGGAGTTTGAGACCAGCCCGACCAACATGGTGAAACCTGCCTCTACTGAAAGTACAAAAAATGGCTGGACATGGTGGTGCATGCCTGTAGTTCCAGCTACTTGGGAGGCTGAGACCGGAGAATCTCGTGAACCTGGGATGCGGAGGTTGCAGTGAGGCAAGATCTCACCATTGCAGCCCAGCCTGGGCGACAGAGGGAGACTCCATCTCAAATATAGAAAAAAAGAAGCAATAAGACGACCTAACCTCATGCAAATATGTAGTTGGTAAAAGGTGTATTTTAAAGTTTTCAGACAGTGGTGGGTATTCTTTAATACTAAATCAAAACTTCACAAGTGCTAGTTTCTTAAATTAGTTACAGTGGCATTTTCCATATTAATAAATTTATTCCATCAGTACTCATTGATTTTTCTTGCACAGTAAATGGATCTTTCGCCCCATACTTGCATTTATAATATGCATTAGTTACTTGGAATATATTGGTTTATGTTTTGTTGTGTCAAAAATCACTTTTAGTTTAACCACCAATCTTACTTTAAAATGCCTTTAAGTATTGAAAAGCTGTCAAACCTACAGTAGAAGGAACAAGTTTTTCAAAGTCCTCAGGAAAGCTTAAATTTCATCATTGGGAACAAATATTTATTTTCCTTGAAGTGACAACGTCTCACTTCATTTATTTTTGAGAATGATAGTTGTACTTTTTTTTTAGACTGAGTCTCACTCTGTCACTTGGCTGGAGTGCATTGGTATGATCTCAGCTCAAGCAATCCTCTCACCTCAGGCTCCTGTGTAGCTGGGACCACAAATGTGTGGCACCACGCCAGGCTAATTTTCTTGTATTTTTGGTAGAGACAGGGTTTCGTTATGTTGCCTAGGCTGGTCTCCTTGAGGTCTGAAGGAGCTCAAGCCATCTGCCTGCTTTGGCCTCCCAAAGTGCTGGGATTTTACAGGCGTGAGCCACTGCGCTGACCCGGTTGTAATTTTAAATAAAAACGATGTTCTGTGAAAAGAGTGATTTTTCAGTTCACAATTAAATCACGAATTCTAAAAAACAAAAAAACAACATACTGCAGTCAGCAAAGCGCTTCTTGTTAACTTTCCACTTATTCGGAATATTAAAGAGATATGTCAAGGTTTAATAACATTAATTTTTACTGCTTCCTCAAAGACATTCTTAAGTAATTCAGGCTATGTTTTTTAACTGTAGGGGTCAGTAAAGAATAGAATGACTACTAATGTAATTGGTACCACTGCCTTGATTTATGAAAAACTAGCAGTTTTACCCACTTTTGCTTTTATACAGTCATGGCAAGTGTCAATGAAAAAGCAGGCAATGACTTTGTATTATTTTTACAAATTTTTAAAATTTTTAATCAGCTTTCTCAGGTTTAATTAATATGATTCAGAACAGTGTTGGCCAGGCACAGTCGCTCGGGCCTGTAATCCCAGCACTTTGGAAAGCCGAGGTGAGCAGATAACCTGAGGTCAGGAGTTCAATACCAGCCTGGACAACATGGTGAAACCACATCTCTACTAAAAATACAAAATTTAGCTGGCATGATAGCAGGCACTTGTAATCCCTGCTACTCGGGAGGCTGAGGTAGGAGAATCACTTGAACCCGAGAGGCGAAGGTTGCCGTGAGCCGAGATCGTGCCATTGCACTCCAGCCTGGGCAACAAGAGTGAAACTTGGTCTCAAAAAAAAAAAAAAAAAAAAAAAAAAAAAAAGAACAGTTTTGACCTCTTAGGCCTTCTGGAAAGGGTATTGAGGATCCCAAGAGGTCCACAGAGCCCATTTGGAGAACCACTGGTTTATCACACAGGCAAAATGCATTAGTTTTTACAAAGTTTAAAGTTCATCAAAGACTAGCCTCTTAAAAAGGCAGATGAGTTTTTAATTCAAACAACAGAAAATACATCAATACGTCACGAGAGTGTACTATAGAGAACTAAAGAGAAAAGAAGCTAGGAAATCTGAATCACGTTTACATTTGTTAAAGTTCATCACTACTGCTTTGTAAAACATTCTTGTGTTTCAATGTGTGGTTAGAAGAGTGAAAATGTATTTGGTTTATTGCCATTGCCTGTTAGGGAGAGTCAATACTTACAGGCATTTTCTGACTGGTTATCATATAAAAGACTTCACAGTACAGGACATGAAGTGCTGAGGAAGAAGAAGTCAGGAAATCCTCTGCAAGTCAGGATCCAGAAGAATTCGTAAAAACTGCTTTGGTAAACACCAAAGCACACAGGAGGCATTATTTTATAAACAAATGTTATACTAAGATATTAACAGTTTTTGAAGTAATGCACATTCTTGTTTTATAGAGATGCAGATGGATCTTTGAGCATATTTGATGAACAGTTATACTCGTTTATGTTAAGTGGCACTTTTATTGCGGTTGTATTTTCATCATACACTTGTATCTGTTTCATGCTGAAATCAAAGGCATCTGTTTTAAAATCTTCCCCATTTCATGTTGCATTTAGCCATCCTAAGTGTTATAAAAAGAATGTGCTGGAATAAGAACTGATCCTGCAGTTCTGTTTAGTTAGTGAGCTAGTATGAGTGAATATGTTATCCAAATAATAGAAAATGTATCTTTTTTTTTTTTTTTTTTTTTGAGACGGAGTCTCGCTCTGTCGCCCAGGCTGGAGTGCGGTGGCGCCATCTCCGCTCACTGCAAGCTCCGCCTCCCGGGTTCCCGCCATTCTCCTGCCTCAGCCTCCGGAGTAGCTGGGACTACAGGCGCCGCCACCTCGCCCGGCTAGTTTTTTTTTTGTATTTTTAGTAGAGACGGGGTTTCACCGTGTTAGCCAGGATGGTCTCGATCTCCTGACCTCGTGATCCACCCGCCTTGGCCTCCCAAAGTGCTGGGATTACAGGCGTGAGCCACTGCACCCGGCCTTTTTTTTTTTTTTTTTTTAAACAGAGTCTCTCTCTGTAGCCCAGACTGGAGTAATATAATGCAATCTCGGCTCACTGCAGGCTCTGCTTCCCAGATCCCTGTTCAAGCAATTCTCCTGCCTCAACCTCCCAAGTAGCTGGGATTACAGGAATATGCCACCGTGCCCAGCTAATTGTTTTTTTTCTTTTCTTTTTTTTAGTAAAGACAGGGTTTCACCATGTTGGCCAGGATGGTCTTGAACTCCTGACCTTGTGTTCCACCCGCCTCGGCCTCCCAAAGTGCTGGAATTACAGGTGTGAGCCACCAAGCCTGGCCCAGAAAATGTATCTTTCTAAAAGGTAATTGTGAGCTGTCTATAGGACCCTGCAAGTCACTACCCAATTCTCGAAGCCATTCCTCCTTCTGTTCCACACAGGTTTCCACCGTGCACATTACCCAGACAAGAAATGGAGGTGGGAGTTTTAGTAACGATTCCTCCTCCATTCCATCGACTCCCAGCACCAGCCAGGAGGACCTTCAGGTCAATGTTCCTCCCACTGCTGACACACCCACGCCCGTTCACAATCGATCCAAGCGCTGGTCCAAGCTGTTTACATCTGAGAAAGGGAGTGACCCAGACAAAGAGAACAAAGCCCAGGACAGCCATGCTGACACCATCGGGAGCGGCAGAGCCATCCCCATTAAACAGGGCATGCTCTTAAAGCTAAGTGGGAAATAGCTAAAGAAATGGAAAAAGAAATATGTCACCCTCTGTGACAATGGCGTGCTCACCTATTATTCAAGCTTAGGTGATTATATGAAGAATATTCACAAAAAAGAGATTGACCTTCAGACATCTACCATCGAAGTCCCAGGAAAGAGGCCACCCCTAGCCACACTGGCCTGTGCGCCCATTTCCAGCTCTAAAAGCAATGGCCTATCCAAGGACATGAACAGTCTACGTATGTCAGCCAATTCAGACACCGGGCTGGGTGACTCTGTATGCTCCAGCCCCAATATCTCCAGCACCACCAGCCCCAAGCTCAACCCACCCCCCTCTCTTCATGCCAACAAAAACAAACACCGAAGGAAGAAAAGCACCAATAGCTTGAAAGATGATGGCCTGTCCAGCACTGCTGAAGAACAAGAAGAAAACTTTATCATTGTGTCCCTCACTGGCCAAACGTGGCACTTTGAAGCCACGATGTATGAGGAGCGGGATGCCTGGGTCTAAGCCATCGAGAGCCAGATCCTGGCCAGCCTGCAGTCATGCAAGAGCAGCAAAAGCAAGTTCCGGCTGATGAGCCAGCGTGAGGCCATGACCCTGCAGTCCATCCAAAACATGTGTGGGAACTCCCACTGTGTGGACTGTGAGACCCAGAATCCTAACTGGGCCAGTTTGAACTTGGGAGTCTTCAAGTGTATTGAATGCTCAGGGATCCACCGTAATCTTGGCACCCACCTTTCCCGAGTCCGATCTCTGGACCTAGATGACTGGCCAGTTGAGCTCATGAAGGTTGTGTCATATATTGGCAATGACCTAGCCAACAGCGTCTGGCAAGAGAGCAGCCAGGGGCAGACAAAACCATTAGTAGACTCCACAAGGGAAGAGAAGGAGTGGTGGATCCGTTCCAAATATGAACAGAAGCTCTTCCTGGCCCCACTACCCTACACGGAGCTGTCCCTGAGCCAGCACCTGCTGCAGGCCATCCCAATGAGGACCTGCGGACAGCCGTCCTGCTGCTGGCACATGGCTCCCAGGAGGAGGTGAATGAGACCTGTGGGGAGAGAGACAGCTGCACGGTGCTCCATCTGGCCTGCCGCAAGGGGAATGTGGTCCTGGCTCAGCTCCTGATCTGGTATGGGGTGGACATCATGACCTGAGATTCCCACGGGAACACAGCGCTGGCCTACACCCGGCAGGCCTCAAGCCAGGAGTGCATCAACCTACTGCTGCAGTACGGCTGCCCCAACGAGCGCATGTAGTATCTGTTTAATTTTATTTGACTGCAGTCTCCTTGGTGCAAAAACAAAATAGGGAAAATAAATAAGAATAACTCAGAAATTCAAAAGGAAATCACAAATTCAGCTAATAATAGCATTTTCAGTACATTTTGTAAACTAAGTAAATACACAAAAAGTTGATTTTTCTGACTATAAGAGATATTTTATGTCCTTTTGCTGAAGTGGATGTGTTAGTTTCAGGCCCTCCTGGGCCACATTGCCCAAGTCACACAGGCTTCTGTATTATGTATTTAGATAAGATGTGTGAAAATATATTTGAAAAAAAGTTCATAAATACGCGTTGATTTTTGTACACATGGCACCTCTTTTTTTTTTTTTTTTTTTTTTTTTTTTTTGATCGTATTTCGCTCTGTTGCCCAGGCTGGAGTGCAGTGGCACGATCTCGGCTCATTGGAAGCTCCACCTCCCAGATTCACGCCATTCTCCTGCCTCAGCCTCTCAAGTAGCTGGGACTACAGGTGCCTGCCACCACGCTTGGCTAATTTTTTGTATTTTTAGTAGAGATGGGGTTTCTACATTCACAGTGTTAGCCAGGATGGTCTGGAATTCCTGACCTCATGATCTGCCTGCCTCAGCCTCCCAAAGTGCTAGGATTACAGGCGTGAGCCACCATGGCCAGCCCATGGCACCTCTCTTAATTTATAAATTGAACTGGATGTGAACTAATAAAGTGCAGCTAGTTGAGATAAGAGGGTTACAGATTGGTTGGGCACAGTGGCTCACACCTGTAATCCCAGCACTTTGGGAGGCCAAGGCAGGCTGATCACAAGGTTAGGAGATCGAAACCATCCTGGCTAACACAATGAAACCCCATCTCTATTAAAAATGCAAAAAATTAGCAGGGCATGGTGGTGGGCGCCTGTAGTCCCAGCTACTTAGGAGGCTGAGGCAGGAGAATGGTGTGAACCTGGGAGGCGGAGCTTGCAGTGAGCAGAGATCATGCCACTGCATTCCAGCCTGGGCAACAGAGCAAGACTCCGTCTCAAAAAAAAAAAAAAAAAAAAAAAAAAGGGTTACAGATCATTGCACATGGAAAATATTCCCAGCAGTAAACACGTCCATTAATGTGATCTACAGCTTTTAAAAAGGAGCATCTCAGAATAAGAGGGTGGTACAATTTGCTTATTAAAATTGAGAAAGGAAAGAAAGGCACACTGGAGTATAGTAGAAAGGGAAAAGAAGGACTGTGATTTCTTGTGATTGAAAACTTGATTTAGATTGCATATGGCTTTTGCTACCCAAGACCAAGTGGCTCTGGCAAGAGAGGGTTGTCTTCCGAATGCCAGACTGAGGTACCTTACGAAGGCAGCTGCTGATGGTTCCAGATGTAGAGAGATAGGTGATGCAGGAGGGAAAGCCGGATTGGAAAAGGGAGAGTTGTAGATGGGCTAAGCTCAGTGTGACTTTGAGAGAGCAGAGCCAGCAGCGTCTAGTCATCATTTGGATGTACAGGACTAGAATACATGTATTCTAGTATATATGACTAGTATACATGAATCTGACGTAGAGCTGCGGAATGAAGAGCAACAGCAGCTCTTTAAATACTGAGAGAGTGTGTAGAATGAAATTGGACAAGCCAAGCATGGTGATTTCATGCCTTTAGCCCTAGCTACTTGGTAGGCTGAGGTGGGGGAATTATTTGAACTCAGCAGTTGAGTCCAGCCTGGGCCAGATAGTGAAACCCTGTATCTTAAGAAAAGAAAAAATAAGGCCAGGTACAGTATCTCATGGTGTAATCCCAGCACTTTGGGAGGTCAAGTTGCGAGGATTGCTGGAGTGTAGGAGTTCAAGACCAGACTGGGCAATAAAGTGAGACCCATTTCTACCAAAAAAAAAAAAAAAAAAAAATCAAGAAATTAGCTGGACGTGGTGGTACATGCCTGTGGCCCCAGTTAAATGGCATGGCAGGCTGAGGCAGGAAGATCACTTGAGCCCAGGAGGTGGAGGCTGCACTGACCTGTGTTCATGTCACTGCACTCCAGCCTGGGCAACAGAGTGAGACCCTGTCTCAAAAACAGATGAAGTGGACAGAAAATAGGTCAGTAAGGACTATTGTCATTTAAAGGACAAGCCCCCAGAGGAGTGGCTACTAGAGTGGGAAGAGGAAAAGCAGAAGAGGATAAGAAAAGGCGAAAGAGTTGAAGATAGGTGAGGCTGTGGTCACAGTGCTGAATGCTGCCAAGCAGTGACTTGATTCAGGAACACTCACTGGATGCTGTCTCTGTTCCTCTTCTAAGTGCTGGGGTAGAGGAGAGGACAGGTGGAACACAGTTCTTGCTTTTATGAGCTTATGTTCTAGGAAGTTCAAACTTAAGTATTTTTTCAGGTAGTACGAAATAGCAGGAAGAGGAAGCAGGCTGAAGGGACACAGAGTGATTGGGGGCTATTTTAGGTAGAATGATAAGGAACAGCCTCTCTAGGGAGCTGACATTGGAACAGTGACCTGACTGAGGGGATGATGGAAAACAGTGCTGACATTATAGGTAGCAGGATGACTGCCAAGACAGACAGAAAAGCATTTGATGTGTGTTTGAGGAACAAACAGCAAGGTGACCAGCATGGTCAGAATGAAGAATGAGGGAAACCTTGAATGAGAATAAAGCAATTCCATCTTGGATGCTAATCTGCCATGTTCTGATTAATCCCACTTCCAAGAATTCATCTACGATTTCTATTTTACTTTTTTAAAAAATTTATTTTTTATTTTTTGAGACAGAGTCTCACTCTGTCTCCCAGGTTGGACTGCAGTGGCACAATCACAACTCACTGCAAACTCCACCTCCCAGGTTCAAGCAATTCTCCTGCCTCAGCTTCCCGAGTAACTGGGATTACAGGCGCATGCCACCATGCCTGGCTAATTTGTGTATTTTTAGTAGAGACAAGGTTTTACTATATTGGCCAGGCTGGTCTTGAACTCCTGACCTCAGGTGATCCGCCCACCTCGGCCTCCCAAAGTGCTGGGATTACAGGCATGAGCCACTGTGCCTGGCCGTACACATCCCTACTGAAGCACGCATTACCCTTTCCCTATGCTGTATAAGCCCTGGTCAGGAAGGTGGGGGTAATGGTGCAGGGATCCACCATCTTGTCTTGGTGTCATCCCTGATTTGGTTCCTGTTCATAAATGCCTATTAAATGTATGTTTCTGAGAAACTTCATTTGTCAGCCTCTTTCTTTGGTATCTCAGTTTCCTTGACCTTTGCAGGTAGGTTTATATAAACCTGCTCACCAGAGAACAGGCAGTTTCTCAAAAAATTAAAAATAGAATTACCAAATGATCCAGCAATACCACTTCTGGATATATAGCCAAAATAATCGAAAGCAAGGTCTCATACAAATATTTGTACACTGATATTTATAGCAGTGGTATTCACACTCATCAAAAGATGGATACAGCCTAATTGTCCATAGGCAGATGAATTGATAAAATGTGGTATATACATACAGTAAAATATTCTTCAGCCTTAAAAAGGAAGGAAATTCTAACACATGCTATAACATGGATGAACATCAAGGACATTATGGTAAGTGAAATGAGCCAGTTACAAAAAGACAAATACTGTGTTCTTTCACTTATGTGAAGCATCTAGTAAGCAAACTAATAGAAACAAAGTGGAACAGGGGTTGCCAGGGACATGGGGAAGGGAGAAAGTGGGAAGTTGCTTAGCGGATATAGAGTTTTGGTTTTGTCAGATGAAAAAGTTCTGGAGATCGGTTGCATGGCAATGTGAATATATATTACCCAACTTGAGGGTTCTCCTTGACCTCTGTTCCAACTGTATACTTAGAAGTGATTAAGTTAGTAAATTTTGTGTATATTTTACCACAATTCAAAATATAATTATTATTATTATTATTATTTGAGATCCCTCACTCTGTTGCCCAGGCTGGAGTGCAATAGCGCCATCTCAGATCACTGCAACCTCCGCCTTCTCGGTTCAAGCAATTCTACTGCCTCAGCCTCCCGAGTAGCTGGGATTACAGGCATGTACCCCCACGCCCAGCTAATTTTGTGTTTTATTTTAGTAGACATGAGGTTTCTCCATGTTAGGCTGGTCTCCTGACCTCAGGTGATCCACCCACCTTGGCCTCCCAAAGTGCTGGGATTACAGGCCCTTTCCTCAAGTACCCATTTGAATATGTCCTCTGGCTTCCCCCAGGAGCCTGACTGATACCACAGGTGGGTGGATGCTGGCGTGCTGCCGGGCCCCTCTTCCTCTGGTGACTGGCCAGCCAAGTCTCCAGGAGTCTCGTTAGCGGGGGCAGGCGGTGGGCACAGCACAAACTGTGAGCTCAAATCCACAGAACAAAAGTGGGAGAAGACACCGGCAGGATGGACTGCCACAAAACTCTCGGCATTCGTGACGTCTGTCCTTTAAATCACACAAGGCATCACCAGGCTTCAGACATGAGACAGCCTAAGTATTTATTTCAAATAAACAAATTGTTTTTCAGAATTGGTAATTGCTAAGTTGGCAAATTGCTATTGGAAACACTGGCTCTCCTTGACTCAGTGATTCAGCCAGCTAGTTCCTTGTCAAACTAGTTTGTTGGGCAAATTCCACCTTGAGAATTTGTCTGCTCCTGTCAAAGCCAGATTCTCCCTGCCTGAGGCTGGACTTGACCTTCTGACTCAGGATATGCTGACTGGGGTCCCTGGGCCCAAGGGTGGCCCCCTTGGGCCATTGTGGGCTGAACCTCTTCCATGATGGGGTGGGGGGACAGGCCACACCTAATTCACCCTTGACCTCATCCAGGCAGGTGAAGTTCCCTGCAGGAGTCACCTGAGCCCAGCCCCTCAGACCAGGATCCATCATGGTTAGGAGGATTTGGGGCTATCTCAGGTTCTTTGGCTAGAAAGGGGTCCCACTCTTAGGGGTCTGCCCTCTATGGGGCACAGATGGCTTGCTGGGGTCCATGGGCTGGGCTGGGTGGACAGGGTTCTGGTCACAGCAACAGCAGCTGGAAGGTCAAGTGGGAGAGCACCAGGGCCTGGGGCCCATGTCTGGTCCTGGGCCTCCCCAGGCCTCTTGCCTTCTACCCCGCGGGCATTCGGGATCTGTGTCTGGACCCAGCCTTGCCCAGGAGGTCTAGGGCCATGGGGTGTTGTGATTAGAATCGCAGTGCTCACACCAAGGCAGTGCATTAAATTAGCAGGGCAGGGTCTCATGGGCAGGGACCATGTGGAGGGGATGGGGGGAAGGGCAGTTGTCCCCAGAGGCTGTGGTGGGCCTGGCTCTGGGCTGGGCAGTGGGCCAGGGTCCTGCTGTGTGGCTGAGCTCTGACAACAGG